ACATTGCCATGTTGCCATGTCAACCGTTGTTATTGTCTGATAAATATATAATGTTAAGTTTTACTTCCACCATGTGTGGATTGCACATACACGCACTTTTTTTGTCTATATTGGTTTTGTGTGAAAATTTTATTATTATTTCAGGAAACGAAGTGGTCGGGAAGTTATGTTTGCAAGTTTCAGGCAAATGTAAAAATTGTAAGTCGCAAAATTCTTCGTGTGTCGCTTCTATGTATTTCACTTTCTTTCCTTGAATTATTTCTTCAAAATATAAAGTTCATTACTTTAAAGCTTTATAAATAACAACTGTTGCGTCAATTCAAACTAGTGCTTAATGTTATACTAATATTTAAAAAAAAAACAAACCCAATTGATACAAGTGGGTAATAAATAGTGAATAAAATCAGGTGAATAAAAGACTATATGCAATGATTTATTCTGTATTAAAACCATACTACTCTACAGCTTGAAATCTATTTTTTTGTTCGTTTTAATAGTAAGTAAACGGTAAAATTAATGAATAAAATATATTTCTTTGGTGCAGTAGCAGCGGGTTTGCTCTAAGACTTTTGTCAGAAGTTGAGCTTTCAAAACTTTCTAGACTAATCTTATCGTTGTTATACTTTAGAGTTCTAAAGAAATTGCTTTAGTGAGTAATGTATGTATGTATGTGTATAATATTGACTTTTAAAATGTATTCAATGATTGCAATCCAATAATATCACCTTGCATCGTTCGCGGCCTTAAGGAGATACGAGAGATATACGACCTCGGCTATAATCTGTACCTATGCCAAACCAAGCTTTCACTGATTTTATATATAAAGCTTGCCCAGTATATATTCAGAGCGTTTCTGTTTGTAATTTCTATCTGTATAGAAATTTCATATAAAATATGCGTAATTATATCAAATAAGAGTTAAAAATTGGTATTCGTCAAACAATTTTAAACAAAATTTTACTTTCTCAAAATCAACACTGCAATGCAACAATGCAACATATTTCCACAAATATTTTATATCACATAAAAAATAAGAAAGGCACATTTGTCTAATATGAATGATGTATAAGAATGTGCTAGACTGCCAATAGTAGGGGAGCCCAAGAGGGGATTTTCTGTAGTTACTCGAGCGCGGCAGATTAACATAAAAGAGGTTACCTTGCACTCTATTGCACATGCACAAGCCTGCAAATCGGCAGATTATTAAATTGGACACTTTTCAGGATGTGACTAGCCTACCACACCTTAATCTGACGGTTTTAAGTATTTCTACCTTATCAAAACATTTTTTAAATATTTTAATCGGCTTCCCTAGACGCGCCCCTTTATATAGAAGACTTATATTATGGTGAAAGTACTCAATAGAGTGCAAGGTAACCTCTTTTATGTTAATCTGCCGCGCTCGAGTAACTACAGAAAATCCCCTCTTGGGCTCCCCTACTACAATGTGCTAGACTGTTTTAAAATACGACAAGTAGATACATACTAGAATGTTTACAAACAATATGCCAAAAAATAATATAAATTAAAATAATAAGCTTAGCATCGAAACACGATATATGAATATTTTAGTAGGTCCAGCAAAAAGTTACCTTGAGAATGCCAGAAGCAAACAAAACGTCGAACGGCCGGATACACAGTGAGTGGATCGATGCTGTTATGTTTATATCCGTCTTATAGTGGTTTTAATATTCATAGTTACTTACATTTGGATATTTGCTACATTACGTATTTGATAGTTATTTACGTTACGTTACTTTTGTTTTGTAATTTTTTTTTAAATGTGATTCTAAGGCCTGATTTTAAAGATCTTAAAAGATTTGCTCTCCATACAACTGCCATATCTTCATGACACTTCATGACTCTTCATGTCATAAAATTTATTACTTTGAAAATATATAAAAAATTTATTTAAAATATATAATTTTTTTAAATGTTTTGTTACATTGAGAGATTTCATGTGCGTGGAAGTCTCAAAAATCTCAATTATAAAAAAAAAAGTTTATTACTTTGATAGAATTATATTTGCATAAATTGTAGTAAATGCTGAATACGCCAAATCCTATTTAGGACTAGATAGAAGATGTGGGAAAAATAAGTAAGTACGGATATGAAATTAAAATATGTGAAAGTTGTCTCTATAAATATGATGAAGGTGCGCGTGCGCGGCCAGTGTGCACCTCAAACGCAATATGGAAAATTTTATAGATATGTGAGCTTCAAAATTAAGATTATTTATACTTATTCCAATATTTTATCTTTCTTATGGAAAACTTATATTTTTTTAGTTTGAAATAGTTATCTTTAATGATTGATAAGTTGATAATCTATACTTAGTAAATAGGAAAGATTTGTTCGTTTGTTTGTACTGAATAGGCTCCGAAATTACTGAACCGATTTAGATGAAATTTGGTAAGAAGATAGTTTGAGACCCTGGGAAGGACGTAGGATAGTTTTTATTCCGGAAATCATCCTTTAAGGGGTGAAAATGGGGATAAAAATTTGTATGGAAAAGCAACCCAGGAACGAACCCGAGCAAAGCGAGGGTGAGTCGCTTGTGATTTTATATTGTAGGTGATTTCAGAAGGGGTTGAGCCTATTTTATTCGTATATAATTTTGATTTCAGAGTTATTTTAAATAAATTCAAATAATTATCTAATAAATTAAGAATCACATAAATACTCGTAAATCAACATCAGCGTAAGTCATTGTTAACTCATATGAGACTACGTGAGAAAGACACATGAGATGTTTTAATAAGGCAATGACCACAATTTCTATGATCACTGAATTTAAAACCTACTTCTATGAAAATTAACCTCATTTTTCAATGGCATATGTGGTAAAGGTTTCGATTTCACAGAGGATCGTGCGAAAATACCACCGGGTAAAGTTACGTGATCGGACTATACTTTTTTGAGGTTTTGGAACTTATTGTACATAAAAATAAGTTTATACAGGATCATTTTTAATTAACTGAAAACCTTTTGAGAATATACTGTTTACATCATAACAATAATATCTGTAAGAAAAAAAAATATTTCTAAAATTTTACAAAAATAAAAGTATTTTTATTGCTCCTATTAAACGGTAGTAGTCCAGCAATTAGCAAAAGAAAGCACGTGACCGGTGGAGGGGTGTAGGAAGTGGCCCTTACTCATTTAAACTTGGCCAGATGTTAGAACTTTACCGTTTAGAAGGTGCAACAAAAATAAAAATTTTAGAAATATATTTTTTTCTTGATATAGATGTTGTTGTTATGATGTAAATAGTGTATTCTTAAAAGGTTTTCAGTAAATTAAAAATGAACCTGCATATACTTGGATTAGCAATCTGTTAATTCAAATTAATCTTTTATTCTTTATCTTCTACATGCACTTCATCTGCCTCATACCAAAATGCTTCACATTTCTGCATTGTATCAAAACAACTGAAGCGTAAAATAAATTAATGTTTGAGAACACACCGCTAAAGTACATAAGTGTTTTTTAGGGTTCCGTAGTCAACAAGGAACCTTAATATATTTTGCAATGTCTATCCGTCCGTCTGTTCGCAGCTTAGCTCAGACACTCTTAGTCCTAGAAAGCTGTTATTTGGCATGGATATATCCATACAAAATTACAATATACGGCTAATATTAGTCACGCCGACAAAGTGGTAAAATAAAATATGACAAACTTATAAAATGTACATACTTGTTACTATTACCCGCCAAACCGTTAACGTTAAATGTTTATAGTGTGAAACAATAAAAAGCCCTCTTTAGTCCGCATTAATGTGATGGGTAACTTTTTTTTTTTTTGTTTACGCTGGGGAAACCCATCATGGGGACCCTGCCGGCCGTCATAACGGGCAAGGTACTGTGAGACTCCTACTCACTAAAACCCACAGCGGAACCCGTCGCCGCAGTGCAATGGGGCGTTGCAGGATCGCTTGCGCACACACTACAACACCCCTGCGGACGGCCCGTACCTCGCGGGCCAACCTCGCCTAAATCAGGATGCCCTCGATTCACAGAGCATCCCGACCGCCCCGATGACGTGCAGGGGAGTCAACGAGAGACCCCCCCGCAGTAGCTCCTCTAGGGTGGCGGGAGAAGATGCGCATATCGACGCCTCCTCCCTCCTGGCCGACGGCGTCGAAGAGGGTCTGCTAAGGCGCTAGCCTCGCGTTCCCTCTCCGCCGTCTCCTTCAGTGACATGACGGTCTCGCTGAAGGAGACCATCGCCGACCAGGACCTCTCGTCACGTAGCATGGCTCCAACCACGCTACACAACGAAAGGTCTCCACCCACTACCGCCATCAGGGCATGGCGCTGGGGAGCCCAAGCGGCGCATTCCACGAGTGTGTGGTGCGAGGTGTCCACGGACGCACCACACTCATGGCATGCGGGCGACGGTTCCCGACGTGCAATCTGAAACAGATACTTACCAAAGCACCCGTGCCCGGTAAATGTGATGGGTAACTACGGAACCCTACATTGCGCGTGGCCCGACACGCACTTGGTCAGTTTTTAAAATTACCGTATAATTGATTTGCGTCACGTATGTTGACCCTACTTCAGAATTCACACTGATCTCTAGAGGTTTATAACCTGAAGCTTTCATAATAAATACGAAAACGATAAATATTAATTATTATTTTTATAATCAAGGTTTACAATGACTCAGATGAATTCCCTAGATAGCCTTCGCATTTGCAATTGTATTCCTTTAGACTTACAGATTTATATCCTCGTATTGTTAGTTTATTTTAGCAAAGTTTTCATATATTATAACTTATAACCTTCTTAGAGCCTCTGTCATCATTATAATATGTAATTATATAATAGTATATTATTTCACTATTTGCAAAAAAAATGATTTGCATAACTGCGTTCCGAGCCGGCGGTATCTTAATATATAAAATGAAAGTTTATGATTTAAAATTGCTTTTAAAATTGTGTTAAGTATATTTTATTTGGTTTTGACTAACTCCGTCAACTTACATTTCACTCCAGTAACAGAGAAACCGGCTCCGGCGAGGACGGGTCCTCATGGCGTGCAGGTCGTGAACACCGGCCCTGACCACTCGTTCGTTCTGGATGAAGAGGCCCTCGAGGAGTTGCTACTCCAAGATGATATTAAGGATAGATCAGCAGTCGTTATATCAGTCGCAGGGGCGTTTAGGAAAGGCAAGTCCTTCTTGCTGGACTTCTTCCTCCGATATATGCATCATAAGGTCAGTATTTTGTAGAACGTATCATCTCCTCGTAGTGTGGTGGTAGATACGTAATCTATCAATAATAATCTATATAAATAAAAATGAAAACTCGAGAACGGCTCGACGATCGATTTTTTTTCGTATGTTCCATAAGGTACAAGTTTTAATAAAGAGAAAAAATATAAAATAAGATAAATATATATAAAACAAAGTCGTGTTAGTTACACCATTTATAACTCAAGAGCGGCTGGACCAATTTTTATGATATTTAATTTTTTGGATTTCTCTTAGTCTTGAATAGGATAATAAATATTAAAACATCAGAAAAATTAACGAAAAAAAATTTATATGGCTATCGCTGGCTAATAACTATTTATATCTATTTAAAACGTACCTAGCGACGAACGCGAGCGAAGCGAGGGTGAGCCGCTAGTATATCAATGAAAATGAATCTACGACTTTTTCTTTATAGATATGTACTACAAAAGAGATATTTGTCGACATTTAATCCTAACGACGTTTCATATATTATACGCTGTTTAAAAAAAACAATATTATGTATATTAATTATAATTCATTATAGTGAAGTTACATAATTACCCGTGACTCGTGAGCATTGTTGTAACAGTGATGTCCATGGCATGATTATGTATTATGCACTCTATTTTCACATAAATGCTGAATGTAATGCCATCTCTATAAAGACAACGGCCATCGTTTATTATAAAATAAATTTAACTTTATAAGGTATTTAATAATATCTAATTAGTTGAGAATTACAATTTCACTTCAATACTTAGAATAGAACTAAAGCAAAGACATGTTTAATTTATGTACATTTATTTATCTTTCAAGTTTTTTTGTTCCTTTATAGAAACTAATTTGATTGTGTTTTATTATTTGTGTTGAAATATATGTAGATTTGACTAATAAAATAAAGTATTACAAGTCACAGCCATCTATTTATTAGATTTCATCAAAATCCGTCCGGCTTTCCAGCGTAGAGGAGTAATAAACATACAACACACAAAAATGTTCGCAATTATGATAGTAGGGTGATTAAAACACGAAGATGATTGATATTTTGCTTTAATATATGTATAATGTACTTATTTAACTAGGTACGTTAGTATGGTTATCCCACGGGGACCGTACTTTTTCCGGGATCAAAAGTTATCTATCTTCTATTCCAGACTATAATCTATCTCTGTGCCAAATTTCATCCAGATCAGTTCAGTCGTTCTGGCGTGATTGAGTAACATTCATCCATCCAAACTTTAGCATTTATAATAGTAGATGTTGATTGATTTTTTGTTGTAACACCAGTACGGTGCGGGCGGTGGGGGCGGCGAGTGGCTCGGCAGCGAGGAGGACCCGCTGGTCGGGTTCAGCTGGCGCGGCGGCTCCGAGCGCGACACCACCGGCATCCTCATGTGGTCTGAGATCTTCAAGGCCACACTCGAGGATGGTGAAAAGGTAGGTGGTTGGTTCAGTTGCAGTGCCGGATTTAACCTTAGCACCGCCCTTGGGCATAGTAAAAGATTCCGCCCTATTATCTTATCATTATTAAATTTTGAATAAAATGTTGAACGTTTATTTTTTTTTATTATTAATTTTTATTTTATTTTAAACTGTTAGTGACAATTAATCTTCTGTGATAGAATTTGTGCTACAAAAGTGCCGTTTACTCTTTAAAGCGACGATTACTTCGTGTGTTTGCTACGTCATTGAAAAGTATTCAAATATATAAGCTATCTCTATTCAGACAAAAATCAACAAAAAAATTCGCATCTAAAATTGAAATGATGTTTCTTGATAAGCGCGTCTCTCGAAAACGGCTGGACTGATAAATAAATGTGTAGGGACATTAACTAAAAGCGCCATCTAGTTCCATGGTTCAGACAAAAATCAACAAAAAAATTCGCATCTAAAAATGAAATGATGTTTCTTGATAAGCGCGTCTCTCGAAAACGGCTGGACTGATAAATAAATGTGTAGGGACATTAACTAAAAGCGCCATCTAGTTCCATGGTTCAGACAAAAATCAACAAAAAAATTCGCATCTAAAAATGAAATGATGTTTCTTGATAAGCGCGTCTCTCGAAAACGGCTGGACTGATAAATAAATGTGTAGGGACATTAACTAAAAGCGCCATCTAGTTCCATGGTTCAGACAAAAATCAACAAAAAAATTCGCATCTAAAAATGAAATGATGTTTCTTGATAAGCGCGTCTCTCGAAAACGGCTGGACTGATAAATAAATGTGTTGGGACATTAACTAAAAGCGCCATCTAGTTCCATGGTAAGCTACGAGGCTTGTGTTATGGATACCAGATAGTTGACACACTACACATATATAACTTTAAATACATACATATTATAAATATAAACAAACATGACTGGAGTACAAACATTCGTGCTCATCACACAAATGAATGCTCCCAGCGGGACTCGAACTCACGACCTCTGGCACAACAAGTAGGGTACTACAAAGTACAAACTGAGTCAAACGTGTCGTCAAGCCACATTTTAATCGGTCGGGTCGAACAGTTATTAATTATTCTGTATGTGTACCCCCAGGTAGCAATAATCCTGCTGGACACGCAGGGCGCATTCGACAGTGAGTCGACGGTGCGCGACTGCGCCACCGTGTTCGCGCTCTCCACCATGCTCTCCTCCGTGCAGATATACAACCTCTCGCAGAACATACAGGAGGACGACCTGCAGCATCTACAGGTGAGTTTGGCTATTGACCGACATTAACAAAAGAGTGTTTGTGTTATTTGGATCAAAAAATGTGGCAGCCCTGAGGCAATTTAGATTGAGGATCCTTTTATAATATTTCAAAGAAATTGATATGTTTTATGCACACCCATTCTGTTTTCCTTTCTATCATAGATAATACATATCTAATATTATTATTATATCCCATATTCATGTAGCTGTCTGTTTTGTGAGATCGTACGTGAACTAGGGATGGAACATTTCACGAGTAGCAAGTGAAAAATCACGTGAAATGCGTAATCATACGTCACACCTGCTACTTAAATTCATAGTGGCTGCTACAAATCACAACTTGGTGAAATCTAGAGCTGTAGCAAACCGTATGTATTCGTTACTGAGTAACGGGTACGCCATCTAGTACCGAGTACCGAAACGTTACTCACGAATGCATTTCGTTACTCGCATTTTCCGTATACATTTTCGTACTGATGTTTTTATTGATTTTTTATTCAACAAAATACAATTTTCAGTTAATACCGTTGATCAGTAAATTGGGGAGTTTATTTATTTTGAGTTGCATGATTTCGGATTCTTAGAAATATTGTTTAGAAATAATTTTAAATTAGAAACAACAATTAAATTTAGAGCACATTTTTAGTTTTTTATCCAACAAATACTTATAATTTTTACTGAATGATTATGTGTAATACGTACAGACATAACCACCAACGCTGAGAACGAGCTAGAAATTAATGAACCAGTGCTTCCGCGCGATTCTTCGCCATTAGTTTGGTGGAAATCTCACTCCTATATGTACCCCAATTTGGCGGAAATATTTCATGAGCACTGTCACATCGTGGTGACATCAGTGGAGTGTGAGAGAGTATTTTCAAAAGCGGGAAATTTTGCAACCCAAAAAAGAGCACGATTAAGCAGAAAACGAACAGCGGAACTTGTATTTTTAAAAAGCAATGAAGACTATTGTATATAGATATCTCATAAAAAAATCAATCATCAAAAAAATCAAAAAGCAAAAAAAATGATTATACACAAATTAAAAAAATTAAGAAAAACAAAAAAAAGTGTATAAAATTCTTTTATAAAAATTCTTATTGTACATAAAAACAATGAACTTTTAAATACGCCAATGTAATTATGGAACTTAGCTTAATACAATTTTACCGTGTGATTACTCTGATATATTTAAAATTCATTTAATTTTACATTGTCAGTCCCAAGCTTGTAGAAGTATGAGGGAAAGTTCATTGTTTGAAAATAGGTTCATTCAAAGCACCATGTACGTATGCAACTACGTCAGATCTATATCTCTGCTCCATATCACATCAGTAGCGCCATTGGTGACATTTCATACTTCATTTTAATAGCAAATAATATAAAGTGTGACACCAGACCGTCGAAATCAAAAATCTATGCGTGAAAAGTAGCAGGTGAAATCACGTGAAAAATTGTTGTAATTTCATCACGTGATAATGATTTAAAAGTAGCAATCATTTCCATGCTTAACGTGAACGATAGGGTTGTCTATAATCGTTAGCGCCGCGGCGCGATTGTAGCTTATTTATGTATACTTGCGGCAGCCGGCCGATGTGCTTTTCTCCTATTTATAATACGGATTGCAATTTTTATACCAAACTACATATTATTATTTGGTATTTAATGGTAAAACAAAGGAGCAATATCTCATTAAGCCACTAAATATGAATCCAAAAATGATGAGACTATAGTCTGGTCACCTGATTTCTTCATTATACTTTACGGGATAGAGAAAAAAAAGTAAAAAAAGTAAAAAAGTAAAAAAAACCGCGTATCTAGGGACGAACCCGAGCGAATCGAGGGTAAGTCGCCAGTATGTATATCTATACAGATAATTAAAAAAGTGTCTGTTTGTAGTGTCAAAATAACAGCGTTTCACTAACACTGCATATGAAATTGGACCCAGTTATGCAAAAAACAGCCATGTGCGTAAAAGTATCAACAGAGTTATAAGCATTTTATTATAAAAAATAAAATAATTATAATAAATAAACAATACTTATATAAATATTGTTCAATTTTAAAATAACCAGAAAAACGAAACATAACCCAAGTGCAACTATCGACAGAATAATGCTTATAACTCTGTTGGTACTTTTACGCACATGGCTGTTTTTTGCATAACTGGGTCTAATTATATACGGTAGTTATAAGAAAAAAACATTTTTTAAAATTTTTGTCTGTTCGTCTGTTTGTTCCGGATAATCTCTGAAATGGTTGGACTGATTTTGACGGGACTTTTACTGGAAGATAGCCGATGTTATAGGAAGTAACATAGGCTACTTTTATTTTAGAAATAGAATTAGGGTTCCGCTCAAAAAAATTATAACCTACCTAGGGATGAAGTCGAGCGAATTGAGTAACTCCGAGTAAGTCGCTAGTATGTATGTATGCATATTGTATATATAAAGAGTGCACGTGGTGGCGGGCAGTTGTTCACAGAGTACGGGCGGCTGGCGCTGGAGGACGGCGGGCGCACGCCCTTCCAGCGCCTGCAGTTCGTGGTGCGCGACTGGAGCTTCCCCTACGAGGCGGCGTACGGCGCGCGCGGCGGCCAGGCCATCCTGCAGCGAAGGCTCAAGGTAATGAACAAATATGTTAGGACATTAACACAGCACCATCTAGTTCCATGGTAATGGTAATGGTGTTATGGATACCAGATAGTTGATACACTAAACATTTATAACTTTTAAATACATATTATAAATATAAACATCCATTACTGGAGTACAAGCATTTGTGCTCATCACACAAATGAATGCCCCCAGCGGGACTTGAACCTGCGACCACTGGCATCGCGAGTAGGGTCACTACAAACTAAGACACGTATCGTCAGGACTTTAAAAATGAGAAATTTAATGAAATGATCTTTATCCAATTAGACTTATTTATTACAAGCACTTTTCAATCGTCAATTTAATGTAAGCGTCAGTGTCGTCAGTCCGTGAGAAAGCTACCATCGGCTCGGGAAGCAGTTCTGCTGAGAAGAGCCCGCAAGAAACTTAACAGTTGCTCTTTTAAAAAGTTTTAAATTTTTATTTTTGTGGGTTGCTATTAGATATCTTCGTTTTTGAGAATCGATTTTCATAATTCTTTTTTTAAATGAATAAATAGCTTTTTCTCAAGGGTGGTCCGATACCAATGATAATTATTTTTTAAGTGATTTTTTAATAAGCTGTAACTTGAGTTTACATGGACTATTCAGAAAATACAAGTAGGTTAGGTTATACAGGGTTTAAGTACCTATAAGAATTAAGAATTAAGTTTTCAATAATTTAAATGTGTTGTTGTATTTTTACGAAGATTTTAGAATAAGTAATATTAGCTTATTTGATTTTAGAATAAGTAATATAGCTTTAGAGAATTTTCTTTAGTTAGCTTTAAGAACTACCCTGTATTTAAGTCTTTAATGCTAAACCAAAACCCCATATTTAGATCCATAGTGTACTAAATACTAATGTGGTCTCCACCAGGTATCAGACAAGCAGCACCCCGAGCTGCAGTCGCTGCGCAAGCACATCACGTCGTGCTTCGCGGAGATCGCGTGCTTCCTGATGCCGCACCCGGGCCTGCGCGTCGCCACCAGCCCCGACTTCGACGGCCGCCTCGCGGGTGGGTTCAGTGCGCGGTCTCGAGTTACGCGTTTTGGACTCTGGCGATTTCTTTAATCTGCTCATTTTGTTGGTGCAAAATGAGCGATTCTCGTTCATTGGAAACTTAAGTGTTTCTATAATCACATACAGTTGTGCAAAATTTGTTTTATTTAAATTGAGAGAATCGTTCCTAAATTTTAGCGTATATAAATCTGTATGCACGACTAAACCTATTTTGATTTTTCGAAGGATTTTTTTTTTAACTAAACATCTAAATATTATTATAAGACAGAATGTAAAATTCGATTTACGTACATATTCGCTTTAAAATTTTCCCTAATTCAATCTTTTCAGAAAAAAATATTATATGAGCATGAATAAAAATAATCGTGATGAATATTTACACAAACAAACACTTCTGTCCGCCAGACATCGAGCCGGAGTTCAAGCGCGCGCTGCAGCAGCTGGTGCCGATGCTGCTGGCGCCGCACAACCTGGTGCCCAAGCTCATCAACGGGCAGCGCGTGCGCGCCAAGGACCTGCTCTTCTACTTCAAGAGCTACATGAACATATACCGCGGCAACGAGCTGCCCGAGCCCAAGAGCATGCTGGTGGTGAGTGACTACTCTGGAGCACGAGGGCACAGGGCTAATTATTGTTAAAATCCATGCTAATATTTTAAATGCGAAAGTAACTCTGTCTGTTACCTTTTTAATTTTTTTAATACGCTGAACCGATTTAGATGAAATTTGGTATGGAGATAGTTTTAGACCTTGGGAAGGACATAAGATAGATTTCATCCCAAAAATTATCCCTTAAAGGGATGAAAAGAGTGGTGAAAGTTTTTATGGAGAACCAAACATTTCTTAAGTGAGGGATATAAATAAATATGTTGGGACATTAATACACAGCACCATCTAGTTCCATGGTAAACTACGAGGCTTATGTTATGTCTCGAGTACAAACATTCGTGCTCATCACAAAAATGAATGCCCCCAGCGGGACTCGAATACGCGACCGTATTGACACAGCAAATAGGGTCACTACTCACTACAAACTGAGCCAAACGTGTCGTTAAATTACGACGACAACGAGGGGTATAAAACTCATCATTACATATATATATATATATATATATATATATATATATATATATATATATATATATATATATATATATATATAGTACATATAACTATATCATACTATGCGTCAAAGAGTGTTTACAATCAAAGAAACTATTATATAATAAATATAATAGTTTCTTATTATATATAATTATAACTATTATATTTAATAATAACTATTATATTTATTATATAATATTTTCTTTGCTTGTGAACTAGTAAAAGAGTATTTGTAGAAAGCACGGAATGAAGCAATCTTTGCACAAAAAAATATTACAAAATGATGTCTTAAAACGATTATATTTTCGCAAAGTTCAATTTTACCAATGACTTTATGAAATATTGTACATAATTAGACTATGTAAAAGCTGATTAAAAATCAAAGCGTCCAATCAACCAATATTACTTAATGACTTCCAGGCCACAGCGGAAGCCAACAACCTGACAGCAGTGGCGGAAGCAAGAGACGTGTACACCACCCTGATGGAGGAGGTGTGCGGCGGCGCGCGGCCCTACCTGCAGCAGACGCTCCTGGAGGCAGAGCACACGAGGATTAAGGACAAGGCCCTCATAGCATTCAGGGCCAAGCGCAAGATGGGTGGAGATGACTTCAGTAAAGCGTATAGTGATCAATTGATACAGGTAGGTTAACTATATTAATGCTATTAATTATTATTGATAGGGTAATTTGTGATTGAGTTACATGGTGGAGAATATGAAGAAACTAATACGTTTGAGGAAACTTAAGTTTTGAAAGATGCGGAAAGTCTGCCACATAGGCATTTGGCCAATAACTAAGTGACATTTTTCTTCTTTTTATATTGTAGAATTTGGATGTAGATGTAGACTTATAAAAATAAATTTTAATATATTTAATATATAGAATACAACTTTATTTATCACGCAAACTGCTTTCAGACAACATAGAACAACAATTAACAATAATAATAAAAAAAGATATAATAAAATAAATATAATATCTGCACATCAAGCAGTGTAGGTACCCCCACAAAAAAGAAGACAACTTACCATGTATTGCACATTCGTGGATATCTAACGCGTATACCTATGTATGCGCGTTAGTCACTTTGCGACATATAATAAATGCACGTGATGGTCACCCCCAGGACCTGGAGGAGCAGTTCCAGCAGTTCCGCGCGCATAACGAGAGCAAAAACATCTTCAAGGCGGCGCGCACGCCGTCCGTGCTGTTCGCGGTCTCGCTCGTGTTCTACGTGCTGAGCGGCGTGCTGGGGCTCGTGGGGCTGTACCCGCTCGCCAACCTCTGCAACCTCGCCATGGGGCTGGGGCTGCTCACGCTCGCGCTCTGGGCGTACATCAGGTTGGTACAGGAGTTGGTTCGTTTATAATGCACGCGGTACACGTTAGTTACGTTTATTTCTTATATTAAAAAAACACTGCGAAGGGACATCTATTGATAAATTTAGAAGTAATGTAATGAAAACATTCGTGTCTTTAATGGCTTAAAGAATGATCAGGAATATCTGGAATGTCAATTTTCGTCTTTATCCATTTGATATGGATTTACACTAGAATATTAAAACAATGAATATTTTTTTTTATAGATTTTGTCTGATTTTAGAAAGAAAAATCCTTTTACCACTCTTTCTTTAGAGACATTGGATTATATTTTAAATAATAGTAGTTTTATTTAACTTTTATAATGTGAAATGAAGCATACCTTAAGGTCCAATACAATCATTTTTTTAGAATAAACTATTTTATGTAGCATTCACGTATACGTTTTAGTGATATAAAAATGTTTTCTTTTTTATTTATATATTTTGTATAATTACAGATACAGCGGTGAAATGAGAGAAGTAGGAATTACAATTGACGAATCAGCAAATTGGTTGTGGGAGAACGTGAGTAGAAAAATATGAAATACTATTCCTATATTATTGCACATATCCTTATCCAGACTATGAAAAATATGAAAGTAAAGAAATATTACATACATACAAAGAAATAAGTATTTCTCTATAGACTAGTCAAAGTAAAATGGCTACTGTGATTCAAAATTATTAAGAGCATATTATTATATTTTTTAAATTTAATCACTGTATTATAAATAATGATAATTCATGATGTGAGAATAGTAAACTATTAATTTCCAGGTAATGAAACCAGTGTACCAAGCTGGGCTAGAGAAGGGTATGGAGCACGCGGCGGCGGCGGCGGCCGAGCGCGCCCTCGGCCCCTCCGCGCCCAGCGCCAACGGCAAGCACAAGCATTTGTGATGTCGCCACCTTTGTCCACGCCCACGCCCACACACACACACAGCCAGTCACGTGTGTGCTTCGAGCATCGTAATGCTCTATACCACTAGTGAATCTAAACATGCTGATAATAAACTAACTATGAATAATTCAAAGGGCATTAAATATGTGGAATTTTACCATTTAGCACCATACACGAAATACACTTATCTCCAAACATGTGTAAGTCAGAGAGTTGCTCAGCTCTACCCTTGCTCTCTAAGCTATGGACGTGATCAGATCAAACGAGATGAAATTGCTAATTTATATAACAGTGCAACAAGTAATATGCTCAATAATGTAAGCGTTTTTACTACATGCAAATGTAACAGCTCTAATGTTAAAATTGCCATTCAAATATGCATTCATCTTAAAAATTATCTATGGATACGTGGCCATAATATAAGCAATAAAGAAATCGTGAATAAAACAAAATCTAGAAAAATGTTATACATTGACAATAATTATTTACTGCAAAATATCAATAAGAGCAACCATTCAATAGAAAATCGATGCTTAGAGGATATAGAAGTCATGGGCATGCGTGAACAGAAAAGCTTTGTTGTATGTCGACGTTGTTTACAATCAATATATAGTTGTACCATAGACAATGACCATAAACCAGGTTGTGACACAAAATGGAGAAGACATCGGAGCAATAAAGCTAATTATTGTAAATACTCACAGGGTCATAGTAAATTCTTAGAAAGAAAGTTCAATTTTTCATCTATATGTACTGTCTTTAGATTACAATTTCTCAAGAAAGTGTTTAAATTTATATTTTCTAGTGAAAAAGCAATAATATTGTTAAAAGTTTCCTTACACGGATTTTAAAGTGGATCTAATATCTGGATTAAGTGTTAGTGTGTGTTGGTTCCGTCACTCGGTGAGTAAAAACTGTAATAATTTTAATAGTTTTTAGCTTAATGGTTGGTTTTCATAAATTTTATGGTAAAGGAATGTCGGAGGTGGAGGAACGGTCCTTGTACAGTCATAGACAAAATATATTGTTAATCATAGTATGTATAATAGGTTAATGGGTATTTCTTAACTAATCCAAATGGTTTCATAGACTAACAAATTTCAATTTTTTTTTAAACATATTCCTTACTTTTCTCAAAATTTGCTTAATCATAAAAAGAATTGTCTAATATTGTTTATTATATTTACTATAGATCAATCTTATTTATTCTCTACTGTGATTTTCTGTGTATTTGCCATAATTTTAATTAAGATTATGGTAAAACTGTGTACGTCTGTCTATTTATCACTTATATATCAATCTTTTTAACTTCTATGACCAATACATTTATAGTGCAAACCATTTGGATTAATACAGTCATACTATTTAGATAAATTTTTTGTGAACACAAACAAAAGCGTGAGCGACATGTAAAATAAAATCTAAAAATCAAATCATGGATGTTTTAAAACTTGCACAAACTTTGTTTTAAAATCATATTTTAAATGAATCAGATGAGTCTATCACTTGTTGATTTGCACCGACTGTTAAAGTACTTAAAATCTTTTCCTTTTTTTTTTTGGGTGTAAAATTGTCATTATTGATGATATTTTTAAGGCAAGCTTTTGTATATAAATGTTTTCTAAACATATCTCATGTATCAATCTATTCCTGAATGTGCCAATTTATGTCACTAACATCCAATGTCGCTGGAAACGAAAACATTTGAATTATATTGTTATAAATCTTCAGAGTCTATTTCTTTGTTTTTCCAGTGAGATTGGGATGAGTTTTAACCTATTGTTTCTTCCGTTTGTCTTCACGTTTCGAGACGCTCGATTTTATAATTTTAGAATAAATTATTTAAGAAAAGTTAAAATCAATAAAGGACAGTTGGAAAATGACAATTATCAATTTTTTAAATACATGACTACGATTTTACCTCATAAGAACAATATGTATGGTAAGTCCCATTTGATGATCGCTATGCTGATATCATGCTGCTTTAACGTGTTTTCTCATAAAAAAAAAAATTTGCCAGCTGCTAAAAACTGCAACTTCGATTATTTTATCATATAATTAAAAAGAATTATTTTTTTAATATACAGTTTTATGCTAATAATAAAAATATTTTTGTTTATTTGGCAGCTACGTTTTTGTATTTTTTTAAACGTTAAAAATTAATTAAATGAGAAATGATAACACCAGCATTATGTAAGCATTTTAATACTTTTACGTTAGTGCTTTTGCCTCTAAATGTCACTGTGCCAAAATTATTAAAAAGTTTCATTATTTTCACTTAGCCTATGTATAGTTAAGTTTGTTGTACTTTGCTTAAATACATTAAATAAATTATGTTAAATCTTAAGATTTCCTGGGGAATAAATCAACAGTTTCACTTTTGGCATTAAATATTATAATATTACTTTGTTGTTACATAGAATGTTCTAGAATTATGTTAAGAAACCTATGGAAATGTAAATAGTTTTCATATAATTGTTAAATATTATAGTTTCCATTGCTTTATCTTTATTAATATATTATCTGTAACATTTTTAAATTTGCTCAAAGTAACGATTTAATTTCTTAAATAAACAAGACTTTTTTTTATGTAGACATTTAAAAAGATATTTTTTTATTGTCAGCAATAAATACACTTAATACGAACATCCTTAGTTAAATGAAATATATTATGAACCATAGTTAACATGCTTTTTACTGTATTTCCTCTGTTAAATATATTATTTATTTATTTATAGTTTCTTTTAAATGTAAATAAATTATCACAAATATGAAATGTCAATTTTATATGTGTTCAAATATGACAAAGGTTTCTCTCGAACTGTTTAAGCTTAAATAGTTTTTACCCATCTGATTTCTTTTTAATAAATATAGTAAAAATTATAATATTTTTCATTATTTATTTAAAAAAAATCATCATAGTATAAAAATGTTTATATATACAAAGGGCCAAAACAGTGTTAGAAGTAATAGTTAAAAATTAAAAGAACAAAATATGACGTAATATTAATTCTGCAAAAAATACAAACTAATAATATTTAAAGTACAGCCAATGCCTGCAGCTATTGTTAATGTAATATGGTTGGTTTCTAAGTTTATTATTCCTCTATGGTTTCTAAGTTCCCACAAAAAAAACTAAATCAGTCAGGTAATAGGTATATAATCAAAATTAATATTTGTACAAAAAAAACTAGTCAAACTTTCAAGGGTTATTTATTATAATAAAACAGCTTTCGTATGATTCTTTTTTTGGTATTTTGACAGTGACTTACTTATATTATAATCAAACTTACAAGTTATAACAATCTGACATAATTTGCCAAGACAAACGACTCAGTAAATGAGAAGGACCTAAAGAATATACTTAAATTATATAACTAATTAGATTTCGTAGTAATTTATTTATACATTTCACAAAAAAAATCCTAATAGGTAGTTCCTGTGTTTATTGTGTTTAAAAACAGTAAAACGATTATGTCTCTATGTTTGGTGTTAAATTTTATATTAATTATTTATTATTTTACTTAGTTCAAATTTCAAACAGTTGCGTTTGTAAAAAACTGAAATTCTAATCTCAGTATCACAAACTTAATCTCTCCTCGTTGCCAAATAATTTTAAAGAATATTAATTATGTAGTTTTACTATTGTCTTAAGAACATACATACTTGCTTTCAAAACGTTACATACATATGGGTGTTTCACAAAGATTTATTCTTGGTCATCTTTTTTTACTTTGCGTTAACTTCTCTTTTAAGTGAACTATAAAGATGATTTCGTGTAACACCAAAGAAGTCTCATCAGGAACGAAGAAAAATTAGTTCAAATAAATGTCGATAGATGGCATTATATGTATCAGCATGTCATAAGTTTGTGTCTAAAAGGTATATTATGGCTTTAATGATTTCTCTAAATAAAATATTGCGCTCGTAAATAAATTTGAGTAAACTTTAACTGATTATTGAAAAATCGGTGTTTAGGTAAGTAATGCGTTTGTAAGTGAAGTATTATAGTATATTAAAGAAGATGCCTTTACTTCTTATGAATTGAAAATGAAAACACCCTCGCTTGGGTTCGTCCTTAGGTAAGTCTTTAGATTGACATAACTTATTTATTTATGAACCGATTCACATAAAACAAACACTTAATGTTAAGTGAATCTTACCACAATACATTAGTAAAAACCGCACCAAAATCGGTCAAGCCATTTCTGAGATTAGCGCGCACAAACACAGACAAACAAAAATTCTAAAAATCATTGTTTTAGGTTCTAAATGATAATAAAGACCCTCAACAATAGTTTTTCTCAGATATCATCCATGTACAGACAGCGATCGTTTACAATTTTATTGTATATATAATTTACTATGGATACTGGTATAGTATTATATAATCTGTGCTACGGATAAAGTAAAAACTAGGCTATTTTTTATTCCGATAAAAATGGGTTTACTATCGGAAATTATAATAAATTTTATTGAGATTATAATAAAAGTGGCTATTTAGTTGCTTTATTAGCAGCATCTGCTGTCTAGACGGTTTGAAATAAAGTAATAAAATGTATAATAAATTTAAATTTGTAAGTGTATATTTTAAAACAAAACAAAAATACGAACATACCAACTATGTAAATTTTAGGAATTTAAGAATATATTAAAATCAGTTCAGTGGAAAAATAATTTATTATAAAAAATACATAGGTTTTTAACAATGTTTTTATATGTATAGACTATAAAAAATCAATCACAGTTATATTTCATTACATACTAACAAATTATAAGTCATGACAAAAGATTTTTTTACATAAAGATTCCACGACTGACTGCTTTATACCGTCCCGACTTTTGGGTAGTACTGGTTGAGTCGGTGATTTGTAGGTGTATTCTTATAATATGGGGGGATCAGATTAAGATTTTTCATCCTCTCCTCTGGGATGCTTAGAGGCCTGGTACACCGTTATAGTAATAGTGGCTATGCTAGTGACATCTACCCGCAGTTAAGTGCGAACTGCATACGCTATCTCGAGCTCTAGTAGCTCCATATTATGCTATAACTATTCTCTTTGCAACCCTGGATCTTGACCATTCAACCCAACCAACAACAACAACCCAAAGATGGAATTGCTAAATACATTTCTTAGTCAAAAGGATGAGGTTATTCAGGCGCTTTTAGGGTCTTTGGAAACATGGTATGTATATCTCAAAAAAATTGTGTTTATTACCAAAACTGAGTAGGTAAGGACCATATATATATTTGTGCATATTTATTGAAATGCTTTAAGTTAGCAGTATTGTATTTACCATAAAAATAGAGTTTTTAAACATAAACGCTTTCACTTAGCTCAAGTCCAACTCACTTGTTTATTGTGACAACTAACAATCTGCACAGAAATTCCTTTTGTTATTTTTATTAATTTTTATTTCAGTCATGTAGAATCTTTATATTAACTATGATTGCTTTTTATCTGTGGATTTATCATAGTCGGCCGCCAACATCTGCTGACCCACCTGTTTACTGAACGCGTCCAATACCTGTTAAAATATTGAATCATCAATAAATATGTCCTACTTTAAATTATATATTTTATTCACACTGCAATCTGTACTACGACTTTCCTATTATATATTTTTTTTTTGTAAACTCGTGTTTTTTCGTAAAAGATTAAAGAGTTTTTAGAAAAGATACCTGTTTAGAAAAAACTAAAGAGCATAACATTCTCTAAATGCAAAATTTGGATACACGGGATACATTTATATACATACAAGAATTTTTTTTAATATTAAAATATATAGTTAAATTTACCATAATAGCGTTTTCATCCAGAATCTGGGTTAACTCTGCCAAATTTCCTGTTGCCCTGGAAATTAATTTACAATATCAACCTCTGTAATATAAACAGCCAAAGACTAAACAGATTAGTCCAAACAAATATATAATGTACAGATTCGACTCACTTACAATTTTATTATATGTATAGATATGCTAGGGTTTTCTTGTAGCTTGGATGGTTTGGTGTTAAATAAGCACATTTGTACATATATCTAAACATTAAAAGTTCAGAGACTCAAGTATACACCTTTTTGTCATTTGTTTGTCAACCGATGCTGTTTTTTTTATTTAATAGCTATTGACGAGCTTTAGAGTTATCAATAAAAAAAATGATTATGGTCAAATTTCGACCATTGGGTGAAAATTAGTATTAAGTATAGATAAGCCATTTTGGATACTTAAATCATCATATATTGTATGTATATTTTTTTCTTTATTCTGTAAAACTTTTGATCGCACCCCTTCCTGATCTTTTTTCTTTCTGGCCTTCGCCTGGAGATCGCTCACTTAGCGATAAGGCCAGGTTGTGCTATTTCTTCTTTAATATGTATACATGTATGACTAGTAAATTTGTGGTGTGTATATTTGAGTGAATATTTGATTTGATTCATAAATAACTTAAATCTAGGGCTAACCTAGAATATCCCCACAGTATGAGCAGTATGACACAAGCGATGGCCGCAGTGTTGGCCAGCAGCTCCACCGCGGCGAGGCCCAGGACGCCCGCGCAGAGCGCCAGCAGCCAGGCCGCCAGCGCCGCGCCCGCCAGCACCAGCGCCGTGCCGAGCCGACGTAGCACATTCTTATCGTCGTTACGCAATCTGTACTCTTCATACTGTTCGTCTAGTTCCTGAAATTGAAAAGTTATTGATCTATAGGTACTTTAAAATATAATCTATTATCCTGTCAGATACTTTATTATAAGATACACATAATGTGCAATGTTTTTTGGACATTTGCATGATAGTGAAGCCCAAGCAACAGTTAAATAATATTTTGCTAATTTGAACTCGCGGAAAGGTTTAATGTGACAATATTGTGCATTTCGCAAACAGAAAGACGCGAGAAAAACATTGGCTATTTGTTTTGAGACAAAAATAATTCCCGTAGGGCGTAACCCTGCGAAACGTAATTTGATCGACATTTTTCATTACTATCTCAGAGCCATTTTTATGTTTGCCTTAAATACGCTATATAACTTGCCTTAGTCAATTTTTCGCTGTATCTGTCACTGAATTCATCTCCTCCCATTTTCTTTTTGGAGTGGAAGGAGTGAAGTGCTTTATCCCGAGCGCGGCGATGCTCTGTGGCCAGCATGCCAGGAGACAGGTAGGGCTTCGCCCCGCCAGCTACCTCTTCCATCAACCTCTCATATACTTCCTTCGCTTCGGCCACGGCTGATAGATTATTTGCTTCTGCTGTAGCCTAAAAATACTTTTTTTTCAATTTGAGGAAAATTTTACAGTACCATACGATGATAAAATTCTTTTTTTTATTTGTGATATCATATTCTATTCTGTCTTTTGAATTATTTTAATAATAACTATAAAAAAATTAAAAAGCAAAAGATTATATGCTAGAGAGAATATAATGTGAAAATTTAATAGGTAATTTGAAACATTTCTAAATGTGCTATAAGCGGCTCGAAGGACCAAATCGTCATATATTCAAACATTTGACGTTTACCTAATTACCTCTAAGATAGTTTTGGGTTCGGGAAGTGTCGATCCATTGAAGATATTCATGTACGACTTGAAATAAAGCATCATGTCTTTTGCCTTGACTTTTTGTCCCCCGATTTTTTTAATGATCAAATTTTCTGGAGCAGTCAGCATCGGAACAAATTGTTTGAGACATTGTTTGAATTCATCACTTATGTCTGAAAATTAGTTATAATTAATTTTATACCAACACAATGATTTTACATAGTTAATTTAGAAATAATAAGTCTCGCTTTATCGATTACAGTCGATTATTTACGTTTTCGTTTTGATGCTAAAATTTTCCTTCCTGATCCCTTTTATATGATTCATCGTACAAAAGAGAACAGGTAGAAACATTTCTTCATTCACTTCATTAGACGAGTTTTAATAACAGTTTTTCTCCAGAATCTTTCATATACAGACACCGATCAGTTACATTTTTTTTAAATACTCTATACATTTGCAAAATATTATACTTTGATCATTACTTACCAGTTAAATCCCCTTTAAAGTTGGGATTGGTGGCGACGGTGAGACCTGGATGTGGCATCAAGAAACAGGCAATCTCTTCGAAACAGCTGATAATGTGCTTCCTTAGTGATTGCAATTCATGGTGTTGGTTCTCGCTTATCTGCGGATATACGTTATTATTTGTCAAAAAAAACCTACTATCGACTTAGTTGTATTTTGTCACTTTTCTGCATCTTTATTACTTGAAATTAAGACTTTTAAATTTAACAGATTTTAATTTCAAAATTTACATTACTTAATAATTTGACTAGAGTTACCTAAGTAATTATAAAATAAATAGAACCCTAAAAAAAGTTAAGAAAGAAACCACGGTACAACGAATAGTTTGCAAGTGTTTTTATGTATATTTTTAAACTCAAAACTTCTATAGGCAGGTTTGGATGGGGAGTAAATTCATTTGGATGGGGAGTAAATTCACGTAAGTGGTCATCGACATGGTCACGTGACGTTTTAACGCTAACACTCAGAGTGGCGATAGATGTCAAAACCAGTTATATGTAAACAGTTTTGGCACAGAGATAGATTATAGTCTGGAATAGTACATAGGTTACTTTTTATCTCGGAAAAATGTACGATTCCCGTGGGATAGATTTGTTTTTATATTTCACACAGTATTTTATATTTTACTCTTGTTTATTGAAACACATCTCTTAGTTTTGGTTAAGACCAATGATACCTACTGTGTAACACCAAAACAAGATTTATCATCAATTGATAAAATAGGTACTTCAAGTAAATTTATTTTGATTTTTTTTATAATATTTATCCCAATCGCAGGTTGACTCATGTGGTTGGTATCAGACACAACAAAATATGTTTCATGCGAGATAGTAGCTAATAGCGGGAGAAAAATATTAATTTTATCAATAATTACTAACCAATATCCGCGACTCTACTCGCGTAATTTATTTATGTATAGGTAATTGCTTGGCTCTTAACAATAGTTACGTCACGTAGTTTCGTAAAAGTTCCAGCGCCTTATAGGGTTGAATTACAGAAAGCCCTTTCTTAGAGGATGCTTACTCTCAATCGAGAGCTTAAATGTTCATGTTTCGGAATTTATTAATAACAAAACCACTCCACTCACTCCATCCCCTATTTTCACTCCCAATAATTTCAGTTGATTTGAAAAACAAAATCTTACTGCAAGTCTTTTAGCGAGCAGCTGTCTGCCGCCCTCGTCGCCGTAGGCATAGTCGTAAGGGAAGCTCCAGTCCCGAACTAGCAACTGCAATCTTTGGAACGGTTTGCCGCCGCTGCTCTCTAACGCCAACCTTCCGTAATCTGTAAATAACTAAAAGTATTCTATTTAAGTATAAAAATCAGAATTGAATTACCTACAACAAATTGTAATCTATATCATCATCATATTTTAAATAAAAATATATGTTTATCCTCTATGCCTTCCTAAACCATTAATCTGATTGTGATTAAACTCTAATAGGTTATTCTGTATACGCATATATGTAAATATTTCTTTGGACGTTTTGTTTTACACGAACCTAAACCTTTTAAGCTTAGGAATGCACCCAAGTGCCAAGCAAAGCGAGGGTAAGTTGCTAGTTATACAATTGGGCCCAATTATAGTGACGTCTTTCACAATCAGCTGAAAAGGGGCTCTTAATATGTATATTCATATTCTCTCGAACTCATTTACTTCGTAAAACTCCTTTAATACTTGTTTAGACTTAGGTACATGAATATTGGACATTTTGTTTATATTCATTTGTTAACGAGACAAGATCACATGGCTGGTCAGCATTTTTAATAAACCTAAATGAATGAGGTTGGGTGCAGGGTGGTAAACAACATTAACGAAATTTCGGTAAAGAAATACATAAGAGGAATTCAACAAACAATTTTAAGAGTCTATAAAGTGTAGTTACTTGTAAATGTTGTAAGTCATCTTCTTCAATGTTTACGGATAAGTTATATATCTGGACTGAAGACAGCATCGTGGAGATGGCGAACACAGTTGCATTGTCCTTAACTGTGGACTGGCTGTCGAAAGTGCCTTGAGTATCCATCAGGTATATCACCACCTGAAATCACACATATTGATATCTACTTATAATTAATATAATTATGATTGTATTCTAGGGACTTGCCCTCAATCCGCCCTGGTTTGTCACTAGGCGCCTAACAGTGGATTTGTGGCCAGTGGTGGACAGTGGTCATAATCTGATTTTGTCCAGGGAAGGAGTAACAATCAAGATCAATATATCAGTATTTTTACAATTTTCCTTTTTATATTGCATCGACAGGTCAACCAAATATGTTGAATTTGTCCAAAACTCAAATGTTATTACCTCAAAATCAAAGATTATTAAGCTTAAGTATATTTTAAATTTTAATGCAATATTTTACTATTTAAAAATACGTATAGTAAAAGTAATAAGATTCTGAGACAGAAATTTAACAAAACTTATGCGTAACATCAAGCATTTCACTGCGAAATGTTTGTGTTTTTAATTAATTATAACATCACCTACCTTCTCTCCACTGTCCAGAGTGGCAATAAAAGGCTGTGACCAGAAGAGCAACCCCGTAGTGTGTCGCTCGGAGCCGCCGCGCCAACTGAACCCTTCCAGCGGTTCGCCTTCCTTCCCGAGCCACTCGCTACCAGCGCTCCTCAAATTATACTGCAAGGAATACCATTTTTATGGACTGTTTTATCTTTACCGGACAAATATCAGAAGGTAAGATACGCAACTTTTTTGAAAAGTTAATATAACTTAAAATACGAAAGATTGCTCTTGCTTACTTCTACCGTAAAAACTCGTATCGGTTGTACGCAGTATGAGGTGAGAACACAAATAGGGGACTTAATGCTGCTGTTATTATATTTCTTCATTATTATATCGTGAGATATCTTGAGATGATAGTTCCGGTAAAGAGGATTATGTACGTACCCTTTGGTGCATATAACGAAGGAAAAAGCTCAGAAGAAAAGATTTGCCTTTCCGGAAAGCGCCTGCGATGGAGATGACGACAGCCGGACAATCTTTGACATCCTCACTCAAAAATAACTTTTCCAATTCCTCTTCATTCAATGTAAATGTGTGATCTGGATTAGGTACCAAGACCTGGATACCTTTTCCAAGCTTCGGATCTGCCATATTTTTATCTAAAAAAGGATTTTTTACTATTTAACTGTGGCTAGCCGCGTTCACGAGATCCTCGATCTGACCTGTGCGTAGGTGTTACAAGTTGGGGTAAACGAACCCGGCTAGTGACTATGACAACTAACTTTCAGTGTCGGGGTAAGATTTTATTAGTATTTGATTTTCGATCGATATATGCCAATAAATACAAAAATTACCTACATAGATTTTTATGAAAATTCTTAGTGTAATTAATCCATCTTAATCGCCGCAAATTGCATAATCAAATGGCAGCTGTAGGGGACATCAACAGACACTCATTAGCAACTTATTGACTGACTTCAAAAAGGAATAGGTATTAGATTTGTGTGTGTTTTTTATTGTATGTCACGCGATATCTTCGCCATTTGTAAACCGATTTTCAATTCTATTTTAAGATTAAATTTAAATCGTGATTCGTGGGGATGGAATAACCTTCAAAAATTTCTGACATTACCTTTCTAGGTAATGTCAGATATTTAATAAGAATATCAGCCAAACAAACGCGCTCGTCATAGTTACCTTGGATCAAATAACGGCGGGTAAGTAGGTACCTACTCTATCTATAATTAAGAAGTCAACACTATTTTAGTAAATAGCTTATTCAAATAGAAAATATGTTATTGTTAATTACGAAATATGTACTCTATAGTAATTATTATTATTTGATAATATTTAATACTTTTTAGGATTTATTTCTAACTAACGACTTACCCTCACTTCTCAGGGTCTCAAAGTATCTTTTTGCCAAATTTCATCAAAATCGGTTCAGTAGGGCCTACAACGTTACAACGTCCCAAACTTAAAAAACTTACTTTTAAAACTTTAGGTACCTCTTTATAATATTAGTAGATGTACATTATACATAGGTGAGTTGTTGCGTATAAGGTGTTCTCCTGAGGGAATGAGATAATCTCCAGCGGTAAAAAGTAGCCTAGGTATGTCACTTTCCAGCCTTCCAACTATTTCCACACAAAAAATCACGCCAATCCGTCACTCTGTTTCGACGTGAAAGAAGGATAAACAAACAAACACACTTTCACATTTATAATATTAAGTATGGAAGTATGGAGTAATGTAGCCATCTACTAATTAATTTGGTACCGCCGCCAGGGAAAACGCTAAATACTTTGATATTCAATGTAAATATGTGCTCTTATAAATAAACTAGCATTGCCCGCGGCTCCGCCCGCGTTCAGATGACCAAAAACTAAATTCTTAGGTGTTACATATTAGTATACTCTTACATTGCAGTTTTTGTATTTTTCCTCAGAAATAAGATATTTTCCCGCGGTAAAAAGTATCCTAGGATCGCGCGCTACATCGCCCGGTTTATATAGCTTGAGCAGGCGGTCGAGCGATGCGGGGCAGAGGGGATGGACTCGCCGTAGGCATCTCAATGCTCGCCAAGCATTAAAAATGTTTCGCTACTAATTACTTCTAACAACGATATCTCAAAAACTATTCATCTGATTGATTTAGTGTAAAGAGCAATTTTAATCTGCATTAAATGACTAAGCTAACTAAAATATTCATTTGGATAAGGATTAATACCGAACTAAAGAAAATAACTTTGAAAATAACGTAATGTTTTTAATTAAAAATGTTAACATAAAAGTGGTTATTGTAAGTCAACCGTAAGAGATAGAGATATGCTATCGCGGACTTTTTTGTAGCATTTTTATAGATTTTGAATTCTCTAGTACATTACTTAACTGTATCTTTGCTAGTTTACGCGGCGTTCGCGTGGAAAGTTCCCATTTGGCGAGATTTTTTGCGACCTCTTCAACATTTGTCGCCGTATTTCAGCTAATTTACATAAAAGCATAATAAATTATATACCTAAACCTTCCTCAAGAATTACTCTTTCTATTGTTGAAAACCGTATAAAAATCCGTTCAGTAGTTTTCGAGTTTATCGCGTACAGACAGACAGGAGGACAGACAGGAGGACAGAAAGACGCGGCCGGGGGACTTATTTTTATAATAAGTATAGATAGATGGACACTAAATCTAGTACCACAGCCTCGGTACGGTAACGGTCAAAGACTGTTTTTAAAGTTGACAGCAATATTTAATAGCCAAGGGAACTTAAGCCTTAATTTCATGTTATAAGACACAAAATATGATGCGGCGAGTCTGCGTGCAAGTTAATGAGAGCCACACGCGCTTTGCATTGTTTACAACAAGACCGTGATATAAAAAAAAAATTAAACACACAAATACGAGTACACGATACGATGATAAGTTTATAATGTATATTTAAAATTTCCTATTACGTATACTTGGAAATAATCGCATAACAAAATAAATAAATATAGATATTATTTAACTAACTCGCAACACCTACTTAAATTCAGACATAATAGGTGTGAATTCACACAAAATTTTCCTTCTAATTAAAATAATTTAAATTACAAACAAGAACATTGTGCAAATGAAAAAACTTTGCAATATAACACTCACCTGACGTATCCGACTGTACTAAAACACAACAAAATAACTTAAAACACTGAAAAATATCTCAAAATAAATCGTAATGTTGAATTTAATATGAAAATAGATATAAATAAATGTATTAATTTGTTGGTTGGTTTGTTGAAGGCACGTACTGCCTTGGCGCGCCTCTACGACGTTGTGCGATCGCGAGACATGAACATCATGATGTCATACAACTCGACTCCATTGATGATATCATAATTGAAAACGTTAAAAAACTCGGCAACAACAAGTAGAGTAAACAGTTCCTAAAAACTAAGTTTGTTACAAAATTTGGTATTTTAGGAAGTGCATTGTGGAAGTGGAACATGCCTTATGAATTTTAATTTAATCGTTATAACAACCTTGTTTGGTGAAACTATATCTCTAAAAGCCTGATAAAAAAAACTACAAATAAAATTGTTAGAATTTTTATATTTGCTGACGTATGGCCGTTAGCGTAATCTAGGTACATACATATATGTAATAAAATTCTAAGTCGGTAATTTAATATTTTTTGGAAAATTATATAATATTATTATATTGAAGTAGTTGTTATTATCGATGCAGAGACCAAATCTATAGTTTTTAGAATTTTTCTCTGTCGTCTGTCTGTCTGTACCGCATCACGAGAAAACCACTGGACAGATTTTGATGAAATTTGGTATTTGGTATGATGATAGCTGGTTATCCGGGTCAACATATAGGATACTTTTTACTGCGGGAAAATATCTCTAAGAAATCTATAGATACTAAACGTTAAAACGTTATAATAAAGGGATTTTAATAAAACTTTTAACTCCAAACATAAAGCCTAAATTTAACCTTCTTCGTAATGCTTTATACATAAAGCGGAATATTCTCAGTGATTGTAGAGTCAGAAGAGTTTTAAATATTGGTGAACAATTTCCATTAAAAAATGTTTCTATTTTCAGTAACGTAAAAGTGTGGAAACGTGCTCGGTGCGAGTATGTGTATAGCGAGGTGTGTGGCTGCCGGCTGGCTGCGAGAGGGCGAGGCGCGGAGGCGAGGGCGACCGCTGTCATTCAGTGATCGGTCCTTGTCTCTGAAGATAATAAAAACAAGAGCGAAACTGCACGCGAATACATGACAGATATTGAGCGGAATGTGGATTGTGCATCGCTGTAACATATGGACAAAAAATAATACTTAATATTTGTTTTATTCTATTATATAACACGCTTACGTAGATATTATATTTGTGTATGTATTCAGCCTTTTTTAACGTCCCACTGCTGGGCACGGGCCTCCCTTCAGTACGAGGGGGATCAGGAGATAGTCCATCACGCTGGCTAAGTGCGGGTTGGCAGACTTCACATGGGTCATGACTTTCGAAGTTCTCTCAGACATGTAGGTTTCCTCACGTTGTTTTCCTTTACTGTCAAGACAAGTGGTAATAATGTTGAAAATGATTCGCACAATTTCAAGTCATACCATAAACAATTTCTTAGGTGGTAAAGTAAGGATGAAAAAAATAAAACATTCTCTTTGACGATAATGTTTTATTTATGTACGCCAAAACAGACCCGGAGGTATTGGGTTCGAGTATCAGATCTGGCCAAATATAGTTTGTGCCTTTAGTAATAATAATAATGTCTTCCCGACCAATTTCGGCCACGGCGGCCAATCTCATTGAGACTAGCCAACTGACCAGGCAATATTTTAGTGCACAAGTGTGCACATAGACATAAAAGTGCACTCTCTATTCCTATTACTCTCATACTCCGGTGGGACGACTGCTCGACACGACCAGTGAGAGTTAAGACGCAGGACCGACGGCAATATTATGTATAATCAGATAAGTTCAGATTAAGATAAAATAATTAGAAAATACATTTACGCATATCACCTGCATACAAACAGGTGGTTATGTGGCAGTGGGACTCACTGACCCTTATCCTGCCTTGAAGCCATTAATTTCCAATGTTTGCGCCTTGTTCTACTCTATCCCAGATAACTTTACAATACGGTCAGCAGCTAATCTGGTAGATACATCGTGAGAAAAGCTACTTGGAAATAAAAGGTATTTGCTTAAAATAAAACTAATTTAACATTTACATATATTTATTGAGATTTATTCCATTATTTAATAAGTCACGAGGCGTTAGGAAGAAAAACAGCGTTACTCTATAACTACATTATAATATACTTATGTTACATAGACAATTCATCCCGGCTTCTCACCAAATTCCAATATCATTACTAGTACCCATAGAATAGATTAGAGTAAAAATATATTTATTTATAACTTAAAACTATATCATAAAATCTAGGCGCAGTTTATAAGACGTATAATGGCCGCCACATAAGTTGACCTAAAATGGCGGTCGTCTCAACAGCTCGTCGTCACTAACTGTATTTGAATGTATAATCTTAACTATTCTATTTAAAGCTATATTATAACCTATAGGTATTTCAACTAACTTTTTAAACTGTCTAACCGTTTTCAAAAGCTTCGTCCCAAACTTGACAAGCATCGTCATTAACAGTTTATGAAATACTAGCGACCTAGCATAGTTCGGGTTTGTCCCTAGGTTGCTTCCCCATACAAACTTTCATCCCCATTTTCACCCCCTTAAGGGATGATTTCCGGGATAGAAACTATTCTATGTCCTTCCCAAGGGCTCAAACTATCTTCTTACCAAATTTCATCTTAATCGATTCAGTATTTTCTGAGCCTATTCTGTACAAACAAACACAAAAATCTTTCCTCTTTATAACACTAGTATAGATGAATATCTCTACTTCATAGGCCATTTGGGCACAATTTAATTTGCCAAAGTTGCGTAGCCTTTATGTTAATGCAGGCCTATTCTAACTCCATTTTAAATTATACTTAAATTGTACAAATGCCATTATTGCGTGAAGAAATTACAAAACACAATGTATGTGGTCCTTTACTTATTTGTATTTAAGTGTGGTAGTGTAGCGAGAAATTGCTTTGTTGCTAACTATATCTACGAGTTGAGGGCAGTACCATCTCAATTCTCAGGTCAACTTATATGACGCCTACAATACAGTGATATATGTATTTCGTATGTACAACTAATAAATAGTAATGACTTATGGATTAAATATAAGAAACAAAAAATAGTTATTTTAACACAAAGAAAAGATAAAATTAAAGCCTTAAGTTATACAAAAATAAATCTAAATTATAAATATTGACTATCCTTAAAAATTAACTGCCATCTATATACTAATTAAATGGCCGATACTAGGTATATCCAGCCCAGAGGTCTATAGATACTAATGACATATGATAAGCAAACGTTTAGTTTAAAATACAGCATGTCTGACGTCTAAAGGTAAATCAGCAGCAATCCAATCCTTATTTTACCAAATAGGTGACTTTTTCAAGTGGATGTGGAGGGCGAAATTCGAAACTATAGCTATACCACATCGATCAAAAAAGTACCTTAGATACACAATCAGCGACAAAAACGAGCGCACATTCGAACATTTGAGCGCGTTTTTAGTTAATTTATTTTTTGTGAAAACAACTTTAAGGTTCAATTTACATTTTAAATAAAGTATTATTCAGTTTACATTCTTAATTGTATATTTATTTCAACTAGAATAATTAGGTACCTAAACACAATTGGTGACAGTTTTAAGAGAACTTTAGCACGAGATTGTATATCTAGATTTTTTCTAGTTTATTGCAGCTATAGCAAAAAAAAAAAAAGACGCTTGGATTTAGATAAAAAATAAATGGATTTTTCTGCACTTTCCTTCTAATGTACGGGTTTCTCATACACCACCACTTAAAAAATTACAATAGGTATAGACCGATAGCAACAGCGATTTAAGTGAAACAAATATGTCGAATAATTAAATTAAATTGAAGGAAAACCGCATGCAACATTCTAATTTTGTATGCGGTTTTCATTTTAAAGAAAATAAGTAATAATAAATAACAGTAAATAACCATATTTATAGCAAATCCTTTCTATATCGTAAACAATTTTTCTACAAGTACCTACCAACTATAAACTTACTTTAGAAAGCCCAAGGATATATACAAATAATGCATAATACTACGATAAATCAGATAAACATTTAAATATGACGTAGTAAGTTAATTACTATAATATGTTGAATAGTTAGAGACTCTACCATTATCATCGCTACCACTGGGTAATGGGTAGAGACTCCTCAAAAGTAAAAATATTTTAAATAACTTGACTAAAAAATACCTGTTTAATTATAAATATCTGTTACTACAGAGTAAAAATAATAAAATATAATCATTATATCTGTTGTTTTTGCAAATTAATTAATAATAATCTAATTACAAAAAAAGCTCGGCAACTTTAAATCCATATTCAAAGTAACGACTCACTGTCCGTTAAGCATCTAAAATCTAACATTTCATATAATCTAAGCAAATAGTGATATTGGCCCTTATTTGATAAACACGATTGTACAGATCATAAGTAAAATTTATTTTGTCAATTACGCTCTAAGCACACAATTCAATGTTAGTAGTTTATCATTTATTTATTTTGTATTATCATTTACTATGTGGAAATTAGTAAAATTTTCGGCTATGTGACAATTATATATATGCTATGTTTTTTATTATTTTTGAGCTTTTGATATTTCCAAGTACAAGTCATTTAGCCATAGCGGAACAGTGCCAAAATATCGTCAACAAAAAAAACATAGATAAAAATTACGCCACACATTTAGAATTTCCTAAATACATAATTTTAAATTTAGTTTATGTGCATGTAGTTTTCAATGAAGCTATTATAGAGACCAGCGAACATCTTGAGCAAAAGTTCGACGTAGAAAACCGTAGGTGACGTAGGCGCATCCCGCATAAATAGGGATAGTGAATGCGATTGCCTTTCGCCTAGTTCAAATCAAAAACGGAAACAAAAAAAAAAACACAAATAGGTAAAGATTATACGCAGTCAAAGATATTTTTCAAGATGTTTGCCGCTTTTTTATAATTAGTTACATACATACACATTACACACATACTTATATATGTAAAAAATAATATATACGCAAAAAGTGGGTATACAGTATACACAGACTAGGGTATTAGGACTAAGGAGTATAGTATAAATGGAATGATGAGTTTATCAACGCCCTATGTCACTCCGTCTATTCAATACTTGCCATTTAGCCTCAGAGCGTTCATTGATTTATCGATTTGACACCTAAACAAAAAAAGATATGTGCTTAAATTAGTTTGGAAATTCTAAAACATAACAAATATCGCGCACTTTTCCAAGACAAAGCCGGGGTTCACAGCTAGTTAATTCTTAAGTTTAACATCGATAATTACAATGCCTACTTTCTAAACAACGAGTATTCACTACCGGTTTAACATGTATCTACTACATTTATAATACGGTTATATAGATTTGATTTGTTTCTAGAAGATATTTTTATAGCCACATGCAGCCTATTTACATCACAACCACCAAACATGACCCCCGCTTTACACGATAGCACGTTTACGGGGAGCTCCCCTATTTAAAAACTCCAATAGGATCCCATCAAAAGCGACAAAAGCCACATAGAAACCAATACATATTTATTGGTTTCTATGTGGCTTTTGTCAATTTTGATGGGATTCTATTGGAGTTTTTCAACGATCTTTAGTCTTTCGATAACCTCGACCAACAGAAATTATATAACACTATGGTGCGACTACACTGAATAAATAAATGAGTACATAATATATCAGGGGAAGAGTAAAAATAACACCTGTAACAGAGAAGTAAATAAATAATAGGTTTAAGCATGGTAAGGACATATCATCAAGAAAGCAAGAGATAAGCAAGAGAGTTGTAACACAGTACAAAAATCCATACAGTAGGGTATCACCGAATAATTCTAAAGGAAATGCTGTCAAATGCAAGGGCTGTCAAAAAATAACAATTTTCATGGCGAAGTTAAAGTACAGTATGCGAAATTAACAGTGTGCCATCTCGTAGTAAGTTGCAGCTATATCGGTCAACAAAATAAAATGTTGAATCTCAACCCTAAAGCAGTTTCCCAATTGTCATATAAAAGTACTAGCATTGACCGCGGCTCCACCCGCGTTCAAATGACCAAAAACCAAATTCTTAGGTTTTACGTATTAGTCTACTCTTACATTGCAGTTTTTAATTTTTTTCTCAAAAATAAGATATTATCCTGCGGTAAAAAGTATACTATATGTTGACCCGGATAACTAGCTATCACCATACCAAATTTCATCAAAATCCCTCTAGTGGTTTTTTTGTGATGCGGTAACAGACAGACAGATAGACAAACAAAAAATTTAAAAACTATAGATTCGGCCTCTGTATTGATAATAATGTCTATTTCAATAAGATTTTCTAAAAAATATTTAATGTACAGATTCGAGTCTTTTTTTTTGAAGTTAGAATTTTATTATAAGTATAGAAGTATGACAGTCAGGTGCGCCTCGCCGGTGTCTAACCTCGAACGCCCCGCACGATTGCTGTCTAGATATCTTCGTTAGACGACTGTATGGTAAACTGTGGGTGTAAGTATGAATAATAGGTTAATAATAATAAAAAAAAGTGCGTCTGACTGCAATTAACACACGGTAGAAGTAGAACTTCAGAAAGTAATCTACGAGAGAATGAGATGAATATAGAGTATCAGGAGTAGGATAATAATAAGGTTTATTTTTTATATTACTTGACATATATATACATTACATATTATTCACTAATTAATTTTATTATTTTTCACTTCCTGTGTAATGTATTCTACCTCAAATAATTAAATAAAGCATATTAGGCATATTACAATCATATATTTATAGAATATCATAATACTGAAAAAATATAATATTATATATTTGTCAGACAATAACAACGGTTACCATGACAACATAGCAATGTATTCTATCTCATTCTTTCGCCGGCTTAATCCTATATATATTTATGTGTTTGTCTCTTTTTAGGGTCGCATTTCCGTTTCATCGATGTTCAAATCACAACGATTCTAAAGAAGTTTTACTTCAAAAATAGATGACCTAGTAGTAATTAACAAAGTTAATTGGTAAGAATTTGGATGTTAAGTGCAAGTTAGCTGAGAAACGTATGGACAGATTTAGTGTGAAAGAGGATATGTGTAACAGGTGTTCTGAGATGATGGCGGATGAAGGATTAATACCTGTTCTGTCATCTCCGCATGTATGTATATAGCCCTTTTTTTAACGTCCCACTGCTGGGCACGAGTTCAGTACGAGGGGAATCAGGCCATAGTCCACCACGCTGGCCAAGTGCGGGTTGGCGGACTTCACGTCTTTTGAAAACTTGCTAGGTTCGCTCAGACATGCAGGTTTCCTCACGATGTTTTCCTTCACCGTTAATACAAGTGGTATGGATGATATGGATCTTGTTGGAAATTATTCGCACATAAAAATATCAGAGGTGCGAGACCCGGGATTTGAAATCGCTTCACTCGGTTTCCCAAGCGAGCGCGTTACCACTGGGTTAACATTGAATTTCATCCCCGCATAGCGTGGAATAACTACTGAAGAAGGAAGTGTCACATAGACTATTCCCAGAACATTAACAATAATACTAACTCTACTTGCATTGAAGACGTTGGAATATATATTATATTGGAATGTATAATAAATATTATTTAAATCACCATGAAAGAGATAGCGTAATCAAAACTATAAGAAAAGAAAGGCAGCTAGTGTTTGTCACATAAGCGTAGTTTTCTTTGAATTACGTAATTATAGCACCTTTATTTGTTTACAAAAGATTATAAACCGAATAAAATACTTATCTGTGGTATGTGATCCCGTAAACTTTGTATATTTTTCTTTGATAATAGTAAGTACATTTACAGAATACATACGACGGCATTTTAGTTTTTTTTTTATGGGACTAAGGGGGCAAACGGGCAGGAGGCTCACCTGATGGAAAGTGATCACCGCCGCCCATGGACATCTGCAACACCGCAGGGCTTGCAGATCCGTTGCCGGCCTTTAAGGAATGAATACGCTCTCTTCTTGAAGGTGGCCAGGTCGTAGCGGTTCGGAAAGACCGCCGGCATAGCTGGTTCCACAGAGTGGTTGTGCGGGGCAGAAAATGACTTTAAAATCGCACTGTTGTGGAACGCTGGACATCGAGGTGGTGTGGATGGAATTTAATATTTTGGCGCGATGTCCGATGATGAAATTCAGCAGCCGGGATCAGTCCGAACAATTCCTCGGAACACTCCCCGTGATAAATGCGGTTATGGAAACGAATGCTATACACCAGTTGGCAAAGCGGGAAGCACGTGTGTTTTTTACTTATTCAAAAGCGACTTTTTTTTGCGAGCATTTGTGAGCTTCCCTTTTAGAGCGCTAGTAACGTATTTACTTTTTATATTTAAACATCGATTATAAAGATATAATAATATGCAATTTCTCTATAAAGCTTATTTTAAAATAAGTATATACTTACTATGTTTGATGTGTATTTGTGTTGTATTTTGTGTTTGTGTGTATTGACAGTTTCCTGTATAAATAGTGATTATGAAAAATCCTAAATTAATGTTACAATACCATAGCTACTACAAATTACATATTACCAAGACTAAAGCATCAGCTATAATTATTTATATTAAAGATACTGCTAATTTAATGTACTACAACTTCTATAAAATTAAAACATTAATAACTGAAACAATAGAATAACATTAAAATGTCAGTACCATGCAATTTCTAACATCCACATGCTGTACAAAGCTAATAAGACCCACATAATATCTTAAAAAATTCACACTGTAAAACTCAATTTAATAAAGATAAAAGAAATACTTAAGTTTGGAAAAATAGTGTGTTAGTTTTTAACAGCATTAGTTGTAGGTTTATGACAGAGTATAATATATATTTTTTTCTGTATTATAATATATTTAAATTAAGTGTTAGCAAAATATCAAGAACATATTAAATAAGTCAAAAATAATAAAAGATAAAATAAAAAAAGTTATTAACCAAACATTTTTTTAATTACATTTGCATAATCCTTGTTTATCCTTTCAATGTGAGGCCTCAATTCAGATGCTTTCTGCAATGCTGCTTTGTCATTGGGATCAATGTGGAGAGCTCTTTGGATATCTTCCCAAGCCTCTTCATACATATGTAGCCCTATGTATGCAATACATCGCCTGTACAGGGCCTTAATATTGTCCGGGTCATATGTAAGGGCTCTGCTACAGAGGTCCAATGTAGCGCCAAACTCTTCAAACTGAAGCTGACAGTGTGCCATGTTATTGAAGAGTTTAACCTACAGAAAACAAACAATCATTTTAAAACCACAAATCCATACTAATATTATAAATGTGAAAGTGTGTTTGTTTGTCATTCTTTCACATAAAAACGGATTGATGGATTGGTGTGATTTTTTGTGTGAAGATAGTTAGAGAGCTGGAGAATGACATAAGACTACTTTTTATCACAGGAGATTATCTCATTCCCACTGGAAAACATGTTATAATACAATTCAAAAAAATATTTCTTATCAGAATTACTTGAAATTTGGTATGCTATACAATACTATTAAATAAATACATATTTTAGCATTTTTCGAAATTCATCATAAAAGGGGGTAAATTAAGGAATGAAAGTTTGTATGAACCTATCTTTTTAGAGATTTTTTTGTAGTTTTAGTGCGAGCATAGCCACAGGTTCTGCTAGTAATAAATATAGATTTTTTTTGTGTACAACAAAATTCTTACCCTTAAATTGACCAACTCCTTGGCTCTCTCATTATCCATACTTCCTTTTTCAACTGGCTCAATTGCTACAAGCATTTTCAGAGCTTTTGAAAATCTTCTAAATCCATCTACAATCCTTTTGTCCTTTACTAGTTGCACCCCTCTTTCCTTATGATGCACAGCAGATTCATACAGCCTAGCCCAGCTCCAATCACTAATCAACTGTTCCTCAGTAATATCTATCATGTGTATTCTGCAAGATACCTCTTTAACAAGATCCCCATGAGCATTTTTATAAATTAAACGAGCGACAGACACCTCATGGTGGCACATCTGTTGTAAGATCAACTCAAAATCTTTATCAATAAATGCATCCATATCCCCAATTATCACATTGCCGTCGAAAGGAGGATTAAATATTCGGCTCTCAGGCACGTTTAAATCGCATGGACCATCCTTATTTTTACATTTTACATCGCTCAATCTTATTTTACATCGAGCATCTTCATACGGCACTATAGTATAGTCGCCGGGTGCTAAAATAGTTTTCCGAATTTCTCTATCAGGTCGACAGCTGATCACTGTCTCCTTATACATTTTCGTTTTCTTTTATTAGCTCTCTTACGTATAGTTAAAAAAAATTTTAACGCAATGAAAACAATCACTTTTAATCCCAAGGGATTCTTTCAGATAACAATGCAACAGTTGTCCCCGCAAACGCAAATAATATCGACCGTAAGGGAAAGGCGAAAATTCGAGGCTTTCTTTTGTTTATTGCCAATTGCCAAATTCAAATTGACAATTGGATAATTTGACGACTAGTGACATTAATGATTTTTTTTATTATTTTTATAATTATATATATTTTTAAAATTTTGCAAGAAAATCAATAATCGATCAATTGTTTTAGGACTGATTTTTATTTGTCTGATTAAATTATGATTTTTTATATTATAACATTATGATAATTTATGTACTACTCTTAAACGTTAATGTCAATGCCAAATATTTTGACGTTTAATATTATTTTTTAATTGTGAATCGTTGTTTTTGTTTATTTTAAAAACTTAAATTAAAATTTGAACTATTATACATGATGTTAAAAAAGACTTGAGCGAATACTAACGACAAATAATTAGTAGGTCGGGCTATCTGTATTTATTTAACGTAATATTTTTTGTGAACAAAAATTTTCTTATCAAAAGTTTACCTAGGTAAGTTGATTATAGTTCTATTAAATATTTGATTATTATTAGCTCAGACATTTAAAATTAACTGCAGTACTTCCGAGTATATATTATTTATACATATCATTTTTGATATTATTATATAAAATAACCAAAAAATCATAATTTAAAAGGTGCTTTAATTTTGTTATTTATTAACAGGTATAATGACGCTCTTATTAAAAAGTGTGTGGCGTAACGTATTGAAAAGCACTCAACGTAATAATCGTTCATTGAGGTCTTCAAGTTTTTCAAATGGTAATCATTTCAATCAAAATTGTTCGTAATACACTGCATAATGTAGAATTAAATTCCCACGAAACATTCTTTTTTTAGAATTCAAATAATAGAATAATAAAAAAATATATATATTACAGTTACAGCATCAGATGTAGCTCGTGTAAAGCCTCTTGATAACATTATGATGACCATCCGAACAGCTCCAAGTACAGCTGATGTGCTAGCAACTGTTCAGGCAAACCTACCTCTTTTGACATATAAACATATGCTTCAAGCATTTCGCAGTTTATTTGAATTACAGAAGGCTAGTAAGTAAGTAATAATACTTTTTATATTGCATGGAAATTATACAAGAATCTTTTTTATATATATATATATAACTTTTAAAAATGTTTTCATTAATTTTATATAATTGCACATGAATGTAACTAAAAGTATGTTTTGCTATTGGAAACAACATTTTTTTTTATTCAGTAAAGGGACAACTTTTTATGAGGCTAATTATGTCAGCCAAATGTAATGTTTAGTTTTTATTGGACCTCCACATCATCAGACATGTCTATATTCTAGCCACAAAATCTTAAACAATGAGGCAGATTATTATAAAATTAAAAGGATAAGTAACTATAATATTCTATTTTATAATGTAAAAACATTAATCTTGTTTGTTTGTTTGAACTCGCTAATCGGATGAACTACTAATCCGATTCGAAAAACTCTTTTTGTTTTAGATAGCTTGTTTATTGAGGATGGCTATAGGATATATATTATCATGCTACTACCCAAGGGAGCAGTACAGTAATCATAAATGCCAACAAATCGAGTATACTTCCATACATTATTGTAATAGTGGTGTTTACATTATGTTCAAGCAATTTAAGCTCAGAAACTGATGAGCTTATTTTAAAAATGGCTTTTGCATAAAGCCAAAGAGTTTTTATTGTATTTTGGCGCGTGCGAAGACCAGGGTTCTGCTAGTTTTTTATATATTGACAATAGTATCTATTAAATATTCATTAAGTAAAAAGTTACAGCTTAATGCTCACTGTAGTGTTGTTGGAACTATGGAGTAAACATAAAATTTAATGTGTTCTATATTAAAACTCTTCTGTAAATCAAAATAATGAAAAGATTTAAAACTAAATCCTAGGTCACGTCCAAGTTTGAGAAAAATAATTATTCTGTTTTTCTGTCAAAAAAAAATCTAGCAGCCCACCAGCAACATGAAGAATTTTGTTAGAATTACACTTTCACGCCCTTGATTATAAAGCTGTTAGTTTTAGATCTCTTAGATTAGTAGAGTATTTGTGAAGTTGGCTGTCATGACTCCATTCAATTCAATTTTTTCAATTCATAAGTGTTGGATACATCCAGAGCTATTCCGTGATCCTCATGATGACCAATTAAACATCAAATTATTTAATAAAACTAACCTGTGACACTCATTTCAATTACAGATATAAAGACAATGAAGCAATTATAAAAGATCCAACATTCAGTATCCTCTGTCAAAACTTTAAAAAACATGCACGTGTTTTAGACGTAAATGAAACTATTGAAGCTCTTAAAGTTCTTTCCTTTCTTAAAGTGCCGGTCGACTCTGTAATATTTCAAACAATGCTCCAATTGATACGAAGCAATATAAATTTACTGAACACTCCTCAGATAATGTTTTTAGACTTCATTCTTACACAGTGTAATGGCAAAAATCATTTAGTGGATGCTTTAAAATTGGCACTTCCCTTGGCATTCCAAATACATTTACCCTTAGAACTAGACAACCAAGACCCCCAACTTCTACGAGACATGCTATTATACAGCTGCTCTCACGACCTTCCTGATCGCTGCACAAATAACGTGGTTACAGGTCTCTTACTAAATGACCAAAAAATCAACGCACAAATGGCAAAATCCATTATTTGGGCTTTATGCCAAATCGATTGTACTGAAAATGTCTTCCCAACACGAACTCAACTTTTGCATATATGCTGCGATATTTTAGTCCATTCAATAGATGATTTGCCATTTGATGACGTATTGAGGACGGCAGCCAAGTTAAAGGGGAGGGTCCTGGAGAAGTATCCAGAGTACTACCACATGGAACTCATGGACGCGATTGGAGATTATGTGGTCACTCATGATATAGAATTTGAAAAAGGATTGCTAGTTGCACGAGTTTTGTCCAGAATTGTAAGTTGAGTATATTAAATTTTCATATTTAAGCTTACATTGATGTGGCTAATATTATAAAATATTTAAAATATTACCTTTTAAATATTTGTAGCTGCTCAAATAGTTTTTTTTTTAATATTTCAGACACACACTCATCTCAGTTTAATCGAATACCTCTGCAATAAGGCGTTATCAGATCCAGAAATTTTGAACAATGCTCGTGCAAACATACTATTTAGTTTCATCAACTGTCTTTCGAACAACAACTTCACCTTGGATTCTGATCAGTGGACCGAAATTAAGAAACAAATCTCGTCTAATCCAATCTTAGGATGTACTAATGCAGCTTTACCGTGGACTAAAACATGTCTTGAACTAGCTTCACTAGGAGTTTATGAAGACAAGATTCTGAGTCGAATATTTTCTAAGAGCTTCCTAGATGAATATCTCGCAAGAGAGAACAATACACTGGATTACCTCCAACTCCTAACTCTTCATGCGGCAGTAATCACATTTCATAATGCAGATTATAAATTGCCAGATGATATCTTGGAGAAAGCCAAGGGGATGTATCCGATTCATGCATTAACTGGTGTTTTGGTAGAACACTTGGAATTGGGGCTGGGAGGTCCGGGGCACATTGTCAGAAACGTGGTACTACCTTGTGGTATTATAGCAGGTTTGTATCAATATCTAATTAATAAATAGGTGATTAAATTACTTTGTGATATGTGTGTATATGTTTTAATTTTACATTGAATATATATATATAAACATTTTGTGAAATGTGGCTACCTTAAGAAAAGTATTGGGGCTAAATTCGTATGATTTTTATTGTTGACTCTTTTGCATGTTCAGAAACTAAAACAAAATATATTTTTTTTTGTTTTTGTATTTGTAAAGTTACGGTTTTCTATACACTATATGTTTCTGTTCCTTTAATAATAATATCTATAAATGACGTATTTTTAATTTTCCTGCTAATGATTTACAAAATAAATTTTCATTTCATAGATACAGTTATATGTGTAAAGGGAGGGTATCCGGTGAAGTTGCCGCCAGTGGATAGTGAATCAAAGGTCCCGATCGAACAACTAAACGTGCCAAATGGCGCAATAGTGTAAGATTTTTTCCTATTTTTTTTCTATTTAATCACACATACTTTACAAGCCAGTGATAGCTTCCTCATGGACAGACAACATTGATTATTATCTATAAATCAAGCCGATTCAAAAATAATAGTAAAAGTGGAACTAAATAGTTAAATTTTATTTAACTAGCGACTTACCCTCTCTCCGTTCGGGTTCATCCCTACTTACCTTTTAAGGTTTAGTATAGATTTCTCAGAAATGACATATTTTTCTGTATTAAAAAGTATCATATACATTGACCCGGATAACCAGCTATCACCATACCCAATTTCATCAAAATTCCTCCAGTTGTTTTTCTATGATGCGGTCACAGACAGAGAGACAAAAATTCTAAAAACTAGATTCGGCCTCTGTATCGGAAATAATGACTATTTCAATAAGATTTTGCAAAGAATATTTAATGTACAGATTTGTCTCAGTTAGAATTTTATTATATTTATAGATTATTGGATAATTTTATACTATTTTTATTGTTTATAGTATGATTCTTTACAAATAGTTTCTACATTTAAAATTAACTTACCTTTGAATTCCGAACAATGGTGTGAATTTTTTTTTAATTTTTTCTTTTTTTTTCAGAGTATGCATAATAAATTTTAACCAAGGTTGTTTTTCAATGAACAGTAACCGACTACGTGGTTTGTTCCGTCTTATTCTAGATATATTAGAGAAACAAGGATATGCTACTGTCGCGTTAAATATAAACGAATGGATGGGAACACCTGGACATGAAAGAACTCCATACCTCATGAGGGAAATTGGCTACAAATGTGGGGAAATTGGCCTTAAATTATCTACTACTTGATGTAATTTCACTCTTAAGTAACAAGTCCATTGTAAAGGCTAAATTTTTAGTGCAATAAAGGCTGATTGTGAAGTGTTTTTTTTTATTGCACGTGTTTATTTAATTTAATCTATACTAATATTATAAAGAGGTAAAGTTTGTGACGTTGTAGGGGGTAATCTCTGGATCTACTAAACCGATTTAAAAGTTTGGTAAGAAGACAGTATGAGACCCTGGGAAGAACATAGAATACTTTTTATCCCGGAAATCATCCGTTAAAGGAGTAAAAATGGGGATTAAAGTTTGCGGAATTAAGCTAGGAACGAACCCGAGCGAAGCGAGGGTGAGTCGCTAGTAATGATATAAAATAAAAATAAAATCTTATTTGCATTTTTTATCATTACCATTATCATGTAAAAAAATAATTCATTGGAATTGAGGTTTACTCGCAATGTTTTCCTTTACCGTAAGACAAGTGGTAATCTTCTTCTTCTTCTTCTCGTGTCGATGGCAAGTTTTAAATCGAGTCAGCCCAAAACACAGCCACGATCTTTGCTTTATCAAGGGCGTCCATAAGCTCCTGTAAGTTGCAGGTAACAGGGCAAAAGCAGGGCATGCCAGTAAGTGCCTCATCGTTTGTGGAACAGTACCACATCTGCACTCCAATGTTCAAGTGGTAATGAAATGACAAAAATAACATGACAATATCAGAGGTGCTAGACCTAGGATTTGAACCAACTTTACTTCCAGCTTCCCAAGCGAGCGCGTTACCACTAGGCTGCCACTACCTTCTATGTCATGCAAAATCATGTATGACTAAATAAAAACCGTGTGTAAGCAATGAAGAATAAAAAGATTTTCAATTCAATGATTTCAAAGTGTATGAGTTGAGCAAATTGCAGAGATTAGTGATTACTTCGCCATAAATATTTTTTATATCTGGCAACCCTATCTGACATTCCGGATTTGATGTAATGTTTCGAAAGTTGACACAAATGAGTAATTACAATTAGGGATGTGACTTGGAGGAAAAAAAATCGATTACTATGTATTTTTCCTTTTAAAATAAATCGATTTGTATAAAATCTATTAACTAAAAAATAATCGATTTTATCGAACTATTCGAAAAGTTGCATTTTTTGTACAAATTAATAAAATTACCAAGTTGATCATTAAAATAATCTGTTGGTTTTAAAACTGAAAAACAAACCAAGTTTTTATTTCAACTTGAATAATGACTCATTATTAATGAAGAAACTGAATAAAGTATTCCTATTAATTTTTAGTACTACTTAACATTTTAATGAAATGTATATAAAACAAAACGATAAATACAAAAAAACGAAATGATTACCTATTTATTAGTCTCTAAACTAAAATACAAAACAAGTTTTATTAAAATGTTAAGTTTAAACAATAGAAGTACTAAAAAACGAATTATGTCATTTTACTAGAACAAAAATAAAATTACACAATAATCACAAGAAATAAAGTGACCTTTTCCTTTGGTTTTACAACTGAAATACAAAAGAAAACTTTTACAAGTTATTGCCACAAACGTATCATTTAACATTTAACTAGAACAAAAATAAAATAAAACAATAATTACAAGAAATAAAATTACCTTTTCCTTTGCTCTTAAAACTAAAATACAAAAGAAAACTTTCTTTAAGTTTAAACAATAAAAAAAACTAATACAATTTAATGCCACAAATGTATCACTTAAAATTTAACTAGAACAAAAATAAAATAAAACAATAATTACAAGAAATAAAATAACCTTTGGAAATTAGTATAATCGATTTATTAAAAATTATATTTTAATATTTAGAGAATCGATTATATAAAAACGATTATTTTTTCTCATCCCTGATTACAATGATAGCAAAAGTCAAAACAAATAACAATAACATATTAACATAATTCAAATTAAATTTGCTATCTCTTTGTTTATTTTGATAAATGTTAATAACCTATGACCTAATTAATTTTAGTTCTAATGCGCTGATAAGACACAAATGTAAACGGCGCCACGATGGTTTTACGTATAAAATGTACATTTTTATTATTATTTCCTTTAATACTTTTGTGTGAAAGTAAATACGGATACGTAAAATGGTCAAGTGGAAACGCTGAAGTATTGATTACTGATAATCACGAAGAAATTCCAAAAGTACACGTCGCAAAAGCAACATACAGTAATGAAATTAATTCTACTGGGTATGTATAGCCAACATTAAACATTTTTTTACGTCTACTCATAAATTTTATATATTAAAATAAGTAGGTTTTTTTTTTCAGCTGGGCGTTTTTGGAGTTGCATACTTCCCCAGATGTCAGTGATGAGAAGCAAGCATATGCTGCTGGATTTCTTGAGGGCTTCCTCACCCGGGACTTGATATGGAAGCACTGGCAAAATATGTTAAAAGGGTACCTATGCTTTAATTTGATTTTTTCCTGTTTCCCATGGACATGTGTTAATTTTTTTCATGATATCGATATTCTACACAGTATTATACAGTAGATGCATATTTTCAATGATTATTAATTATAAATTAAATATTATTTATTTTAGGTATTGTTATAATAAAACTGTGATCTGCGGTTTGATAGAAGACTTTGTGGACAAAAATGAAGATTACATTGCTTCAATGATAGAATCCAATCCCATCAGTGCATATTGGTACCAGGTAAATTAATTCTCATTTTTATGAAAATTTATAAATAAATATTTCTTCATAACATGTATCTGTGTTAAGATTACTCTTTAAATAGGTACCCATAACATTTATTATTTTTTATGTTGCATTTATTATTTTAGTTTATTAATAGTGTTTTATTAGCAATGAATTCAACATCAAAAAGTCAAGATTGTATGTGGTGTATATTCAATTTAATAAAATTTTGTGGTGGACATTGTAAAATGCACTTGATATTAAAAGAACTGATTTAATTTATGATATTTATTTGTTTGCTTACAATATTAAAATAGTAGATACAGACTATAATTTTAAATACTGTTTCAAAAAATACTTCTACCTCCACTATCATTGCAGGTAAAACTGTACTACATCCAGCTCGAAGGTATGGCAGCTGGTTACAACAAGGCTACAAGAAGTGCATATGAATGGCTCACTGTCAGAGATATCAAGTAAATACTAAATAAAATTTAAATTCACATTGTTGTTATAGTGGCAACACATTCTTTGAAAATTTTAAATCTCTACCTATTATGGTTCATGAGATACAGTCGGCTGACAGTCAGATGCAAGGATAGTGTAGCTTTACTTCATGTAATTCAAGATTATTTGAAAAATTTGCATAATTTCGAACTGTGAGTTTTTTTGCACCTAACCAATGTTTTTATCTCATGCAATTTCTAGGTGGATCAACATGTTAGGTGATCTGGACGAACTATCTATAGCAGTGTCTTCACCGAAGGAAACTCCTGAGGGTATCTTATTTGGGGAACATTGCAGTGGACTTGTTAAACTACTGCCTGATCTGTCAAATTTATATACTTCTCATGTTACTTGGAATAGGTGAAGTAACCAAAATGTTTTTTTTTTATTGGATCCTGTGCAAAAATTTACTTGTTTTAACAACATTGCCTTTATAAACAATTATTATAATTTATTTTATCTCAAGCTTGGATATTATGGATTATATTGTTTTTCTGGTACTACAAAGTACATGCAGTGTATTGTTAATAAAGAAATAATTTTGAAAAGTAAAACATTTAAAAGAATAAAAACCTTAATTCACGATTCTCCATTCTTATAATTCCAATCCACTTTATTTATTTTTTTCGTAATTGCAGCTACCAGTCGATGTTGCGTTTCCAAAAAATGTACGTGCTCAACTACAGGGTGTCCCCCAATGATGATAGACCCCTACCAGGACGAAAAATGTCCTTCACATCATACCCTGCTTTTGCGCAGGTATTTAGATCTTATATAGCTTTTACTAGTTAGCTATAGACAAAAAAATGGTCTACCACTTAAAAGGTCTCCTTTAAAAAGGTACCAATTTACAGGACTAATAAGTATAATGTTAGTTGTAATTATATTTAATACTCAATCTCAAACTCAAAAAATTTTGTATTTAGATAAAATTTTTCTTTTACCTAAATGTATCTACATATATAGGTCATTCCAAAAAAAACATGATTTTATAAAATAAAAATGAACAAAATGAAAACGAGTGAAGCTCGGTCACTCAGGTACCAATTTATTATAATAGTGTATGGAACATATTATGATAATTCAAATAGAATGAAAGCTATGTGGAAACTATTGAATACTGAAAGTTTTGTTGTAATTCCCAAACAGGATTTTGCTCATTAAAATGTTTCATTTCTGTCAGTCAACAGATGACTTCTACATAATATCTTCTGGTCTGGTGGCGGCCGAGACCACGATAGGGAATAGCAACAGGACCCTCTTCGACTTGGTGCAACCTGTTGGACAGGTATGTTACACTTTATTATAATTGTTCTGTATGTATGTATAATGTCACTGAACTCCTTCATGGCTGGATCGTTTTTGATGTTTTTTTTCAAGTGCGGGCGGACTCTATATGTTTTTCCAAAACTTGCTAGGTTCTCTGAACATGCAGGTTTCCCTACGATGTTTTTCTTCGCCGTAAGACAAATAGCAATCATGTTGGAAATGGTATATCAGAGGTATGAAACTCGGGATATGAACCCGCTTAACTCGGTTTCCCAAGCGAACGCGTTACCACTGGGCTACCACTGCCTAATTTGTATGCTAAAATGTGTAAAATAATAAATTAAAAACCTTAAAACAGACCGACTATTTTTTTACAGACTTAATGATATATAATAAATCGCTTTTAGCTGTTTGAATATGTACGGGCCATGGTTGCGAATCGTTTGGCGAGAGATGGCAAGGAATGGGTGGAGTTGTTCAGAATGCATAACAGTGGCACTTACAATAATCAATGGTAAGTGTTGCTTTATTTATTAATAAATAAATTAATTATTCATAAATAATTTTTATTACATCTGTCTCACTGAACAATGTAGTTTAATGAAAATAATTTATTCAATTAGACTATACAAGCACTTTTGAATTCTTTTTCGTCAATTTAATTTAAAAAGAGTTAGTGTAGTTAGACAGTAGTAGAAGTTACTACTGGCTCGGAAGGCAGTTCTGCTATAAAGAGCTGGCAATAAAATCAACTGATGGTACATAATGTTACAGGTACATAGTGGACTATAATAAGTTCAAAGCCAGGGGTCTCCAAAGCGCGGGGAGTATCGAGCCTGGTCTGCTGTGGGTGGTGGAGCAGCTGCCGGGGTACACTGAAGCTGCTGATCTGTAAGTGGTTATACAATATGCTCTAAGAAGCGAGGGTGAATCGGTAGTACTAATTATGTATTTTTTTGCAGAACACAGCTTCTTAAAGAAACAACATACTTCCCGTCATACAACATCCCGTACTTCCCGCGCATGTTCAACCTGAGCGGCGGCAACGAGCGCATCGCCACCTACGGCGACTGGTTCGGCTACCGCACCAACCCCCGGGCCAAGATATTCAAAGATAAACAGGTAGGACTTGAGTGTTCTTAGTGTTGAAGTGACCTAAATTTAAAACAATCAGTGTTGATATATTATATATAACAATAGTTTAACGGAGGAATATAGAAAGGGGGCAATAGTATAGGGCGTGCAGAGGGAGATGCGGGGAAGGCGCTCTCGACTGTGATTCATTCAGCCAATTTTTGCGTCCCACTGCTGGGCACGGGCCTCCCTTTAATACGAGGGGATCAGGCCTTAGTCCACCACGCTGGCCAAGTGCGGGTTGATGGACCGAGCACGTCTGGGAAATATCCCGTTTTACATCATGCATTGTCAGTGAATATGTTTAAAGATTTAATAATAAAGTATAGTGTATGTCTGGCAGGCGGACATCTGCAACCTGCAGGACATGTTCCGCACGATGCGCTACAACGACTACCGCCACGACGCGCGCGCGCGCTGCGCCTGCCGCCCGCCCTACAGCGCCGCCAACGCCGTCGCCGCGCGCGGCGACCTCAACCCCGCCAACGGTGAGCTACTTGTCTGTGGTACTGTAGCTTGACAGGTTAAGTCGTTTGACAGATCAAGTCATTTGGCAGATCAGACCATTTGACAGGTCAGGTCGTTTGACAGGTTAGACCAGTTGACAGGTCAGGCCAAATGACAGGTCAGGTCATTTGACAAATCCACAGATAATAAGTAGGAATGATAAATTAATGATTTTTATTTTACCGACCAATCTCCTTCGTGTCTTCTCCATTTTGCATGATGTTGGCGAAGTGATCTGTGCTCAACTGAAACGCTTTGAAGACATTAATAAGATAATTGTATTGAACGTCCGCAAAAAAATATAATTATTATTATAGCTAGAGAGAATTGGTTAGATCTAGTCGCGTCATTGTAGATCCACCGAAGTTAGATAGTCGGCATGGGCGTAGATAGGTAGTGTATCCACGCCCGCACTACGAAAACAATAAGTTATAGGTTATAAATTATAATACAATATCGGCTCATAAACCTATCGGCTAAATGCAGATGGATGCAAAATGCCTATATGTTGTAATGGTTTTAGAGGATAGGATTTTTTTAACTATATATTCCATGCTATGTGCATAAGTCAAACCTATGTACGTACCTAACAGTAGCTTGTGTTACTCCACTTCATAACCTACATGTGTACTAAATTTCATACTAATGCATCTAGCCGTTTTAGCGTGGAGCAACAAATACACAAGCATACACGCACGTGCACATACACACACACACGCACACATAAAACAAGCACACACACACACACACACACATATACACACAAACAAATTTTCACATTTATAATACTCATCCGATAAGTTTATAATCTGTGCCATTTCTACCAGGAACATACCCATTCAGAGCGCTCAGCCACCGCAGCCACGGCGCCACCGACGCGAAGGTGACCAGCGCCGAGCTGCGCGAGGACTTCCAGTTCCTCAGTGTGGCCAGCCCCACGTACAATGAATCCCGTGGGATACCACCTTTCGAGTGAGTTTTATTGAAGTGTCAGGTTTTTAGAAAACCTAATATAAATATGGCTAAGATGTCAATTATTGATAGTAATGAGATTGCGTTTTATAAATGTCTAAGCTCATAGAACCGAAGGCAATAAAATTGGCAGTACTATAATCTTTTTTTTTAAAGTAATTATACTTCTTTTGTCACGTTTGGAAAAAAATATGAGAGTAAAATTTTTACGATGCGTGCGCACTCCGACAGCCAAAAAACGACATGATGAAGTTAGCTGCATTCCTTTTACAAACAGAGAGTTGTGACTTACGGGATGAAATTTTAGCTATTTTTGTTCTGTTACGCCAAAGAAGTATAACTTCTTATGTGCGTACACAATTACTCACGCGTTTTTTTATAAATGACATCAGTGAAATGAACATAAGGAGTTTTTGGCGTGATTTCACATGATGTAAGTCTGAAAATAGAGCCAAAATGTGGTTCTTCTAGTAAGGTTTAGCCTTATTTGATTATTTTAGTGATTTTTTTATACAATGCGGTTATTGTACAAAAGCGTTTCCTTTTATTATAATTATTGGTCGAAATATTTTTACCAGTCACTATAGTTTTAGTTACATAATATAGAAGAGTCAAATCAACAGTTCTTTTGTGAGTCACGACATTAATAATTTTGATATTTTTGGTTTTATCTTTAATACATTTGTATGTATGTATATACAGATTTCTAAGTTCGAAATACCTGCGAGTACATATTTAGGAAAGTGCCATTTTTTTATTCCTTACATATTATTGTATAATTTTGTGGGTAGACTCTCTGTAACAACTATACCTTTGAGACGTCTAAAATCTTGATCTCTCCCGTGACCATGATTGCTGTTAAGCATTCGAAACGTCGGGAACTTAAAATCAAAATAAATCCGCGACAATATCCGAAAGATTTAAAATATTAAATATTCGCCTAAATCTAAGAAAGTATTAAACTAAAATAAAATTTGTTTTGTTTTCTTTCACAGATGGAGCAAATTCGACATGGGCACAGAGGTCTCTCACATCGGGCATCCAGACCTATGGATGTTCCCACCAATTCTCCACCGCTGGGAGTGGGGATAAACGCACAAACAGTCCAAATACCTTCTGAACATTTTAAAAATCATTTAAAAATATCATAAATTTAATATTTTAATAATAGAAATTTAAATGTAGTTCTTATATTATTAAGGATGCATCGGTATAAATTTCTGCCGATACGATATTGATATTAAAAAAATATAATGACGATAACTATACGAAGATTTAAAATATATAAAAAGCGATGGGCTTAGACACAATGATAACAATATTTTTAAAATTATGATTACACATATATGTAATTTTAACGGAACTAGATGTATGGAATATATCAAAAAAATACTGAAACATTAAAAATTGTTCTGAGTTTAAATCATGGTGCATAGAAGGAAAGAGGAGTCACTTATATGGAAAAAGACAAGTTCAAAAAATGTCCTCCTGTATACTGAATATAGTAGATTGCGCTGGCGTACAGAAAACTAAAACTATGATATGAATCATTTAGACTTTAGCTGTTTGTAGATGGAGGCGCCAGCCTTATTAGATGCGTTTTGACAAACACTTGCATCGCACAGATAGTACTCCTCACCTCTATGCTCCATGGTTTGAATGAACGACTTTTTAACGTGAAGACCAGTGTGCTTACACATTTTCTATAGCGCGACATTTGAAATTCATGACTTATTTGTATTGGCAGGTTATTACCGGACAGCGGCAGCTTTAAGGAGTAACAAACATCTATCTATATAATATATAAAAATCTAAGTGTTTGTATGTTCCCTATGAAATCCAAAACGGCTGGAGCGCTTTTGATGAAATTTTCAGGCAATGTACAGATTAGCCCAGTGGGTGTTCCTGTGAAGTTTGGTAGCGATCGGAAGTTAGAACGCGAGCGAAGCCGCGAGTACTACTAGTGATACATATTAGCGGAATAATCTACTTATACATTTACATTCTAAATTAGTTAAGTGACTTTTTTTACCTATGTACCCGACAGGCCCCCCAAAAGAGGGTAATGTTTTCGAGTATATCTGAATGTTTGTATGTGTATTTGTTTGGCGTGTATAATCTAAACATCCTGTTGGATTATAACATGAAATGCCGTTACATTTGCGTTCATTTTGGCAGTTATATAGATTCGATACATTCGCGTTCATTTTGGCAGATACCGATATGTTGTCTTAAGCACAATTATATATCGGTATCAGACCGACGGTGCATTAATATTGATCAATCTTGATCGAAGTGATAACTTACTATAACTGCATACAGTATGCAGTTATAATAAGTTATCACTTCAATCAAGATGGCAGGCAAAAACTAAAAAAGTCTATATATATATATATCAATGCAAGCCTCATCCTAAGTTTTTATTTCAAAAGCTGGTCAAAAATTTGATTATAAACAAAAAATATTCTTTGGGAATATTCCTTCTTAATATATATTTTTTAATTGAATTGAAACTGTGACGAAATAGAAACTGACACGATTTATAGATAACGCAAAAGAGCAAACTAATTTCTGAAATTTAGATTGATAAAAAAAGTAATACTAGGTACTTTATAAGAATTAAATTGATTAATGAATACATTAATACTCATTTTTTGTATCGGTTTAGTGAGAATCTTGTGATATTTTAATTCATTTATAAATTTTGAATATATTTTTGCTAGAAATTTTAAGTGTTTTCTTTACCTTCCTTACCTTTGCCCTTTATTTCTCAAAATGTAATAACCATGTATATTTGCAATAAATATTAATACTATATATATATTCTATTACAGGTGTTGCATGAAAAAGACCATTTAATTTAATTTTTTTAATACTCTAAATATACAATGGAATGAGTATTTACTAATCCAAAAATCATAAATTATGTACTAAAAAATAAAAAGATCTTTTAATGCTACTTTAATAATATAAAAAAAATCAAGCAAATTAGGTAAACTGAGATTGTCAGTGCAAAAGGGGCCCAAGCTTAAGATAAAATGACGAAGCAAATGAATAGCAAGTACTCAGCTATTATGAAATCATTTCAAGAAACAACAATAAGGCCACACTTGCACTAAAAACATGAAAATTCAAATATTTGCTTGTATTACATGTGTTGTTTTATTTTATATTTCCTAGAGTTTTATATTACTTTTCTATATTAGATATAATTCACTTTATATATACTCAACATGAACCTACTTCAGTACGGGCATTGAATTAATTTTCCTATTTGTCAATCTAATCCTCCTCTCAATCCCCACTCAATTATACTTTATACAAAGTTATATCTCTTATACATTCACAGATTGATTTTATTCATGTTTAAGAAACACTAAATAATACTTTTTAAAGTATAATGTAATTATATGATTCTAAATTTTACATACCATATACATATTTGATTATATACAACTTTAAATAAAAAAAGTCATCCCACCGAGTAAAGCTAAATTCATTGCTTGAGTTATTCAATATAATTAAGTATACTTCATTTTTCATTTCATTAAACATAATGAAGTTTGACGATGTTGATAAAAGTACAAGTTATTTGTAAACATTGTATATACAAAGTGATTTCTAGTAGTCCTTACTCTTACGTTGAATGACTAACCTAGTATAATTTATAAATTCAATGAGATTTTAGGATATGAGCAGGTTATTCTAAGGAGTTCAGCATGAGCAGTTGCTTTAAGACTTTGGTCTGGGAAGTCTCTCGGATCTCTCCAGCCAGGAACATTTCATCAACAACAGTGTACACCTGAAATTAACTGTAATGTTAAATACTTTCTTAGATTTATGTGAATATTTGACATTTTAAATAAAACTATCTTTTTGGATTATTTCGTGGATTTTTTTTAATTGTGGGTAAGCTGTCTGTAACAACTATACCTTCGAGACATGTAACACCTCAGTCTCTCCCATGACCATGAATGCTGTAAAGCAATAGAAACATCGGGAACCAAAAATCAAAATAAATCCGCGAAATAATCCGAAAAGATAGTTTTGTTTAAAATGTCAATTTTATTATAGTACTAAGTATAAAAATCTTAACTAATGTATCTTATAGAAGTTAAAAACCAGATCCAGTTCACATGTTACAGTTATTTAAAATGTCAATTTTATTATAGTACTAAGTATAAAAATCTTAACTAATTTACCTTATAGAAGTTAAAAACCAGATCCAGTTCACATACATTATGGAAGTATTCATTGAGGACTTCCACAAAGTTGTGGATTGCTTCCAAGTAGCACAAATTGTTGTCATTGACATCTACACAAATACAGAAGTAAAGTCCAGCATACCTTCTGTATACAATCTTGAAATTTCGAAACTGAAAAATATGTAATATACTTATATTTTGTTGTTTTTAATAATCGTATTAAGTGTAATAAGTGCCTTAGGATTCAACAATTAAATGCTAAGAAATAGTATTACTAAGTATATAAGTATAATATTATTATTTGCCTTTTAAAGACCCGTTATACTTGAGTAGCTCACACTATTAGATTTCTATTGTCACATACCTCAACAAAATTGGTGTGCTTGGCATCACGAACAGTGACAACTGCATGAACTTCCTCTATGAGTTTCTGTTTCTCGTCATCATCAAAGTTCATGTACCATTTCGCCAGTCGAGTTTTACCAGCCCGGTTTTGTATTAAAATGAAGCGAATCTACGATAGCCAGAAATATATAAATAGTAAATTGCATACAACATTAAAATATACGCTCTAAATGTATAATTTCTTACCATTATTTGTAGTTTTTATATAAACGCTGATTTAATACAAAATTAACGCCTCCCTTTCAGCATCTGATTGTCAATTTGTCGTTAACTTGTCAATGCCATTGCCAAATTAAAAAAATCGAAATGATACTTTTTAGATCAATACCATTTACTATTAATTACAATAATGAAACAATTATTATCAAAATAATCTTAATTTAAAAAGTCAAATATAAAACTATTATAATATTCTAAATATATAATATTATTATTAATTTCATTTCATCAGGGCTTATATTTTTTCCAGTATAAATCAAAATAATTTATGATTTAAATTAGTTTATTGCATAAACAATAATATTTATAATCTTATGCATGATAAAAATACTGTTTTTATATTATTATTTTTTCTTATTGCATATTGCATAATAACAGAATATAGTATCTTCATTCTTCGACCTTTTTAACTGGCAATACAAATATCGAGTTGTTTTTCAATTTTAGTGGATATTTGACGTTGCTGGTACTTGCTCGATTTTATCAAGTTATCATCAATGTAGTGCCCTAGGAATTAACAATATGTTTCTAATATAAGTAGTTTATTAGGAAAACAGCGGATTCTTTTTTAAATGACGCCCACGAAGACTACGAAAACTGAAGTAGAAATGGTAATACGAAATAGAAAAACTGTTATGAAAGACGGGATAATGACAATGTCGGGCATCGGCGAGCCTTCGGTTTTCCACGCTTTAGTGGTAATCTTTTTGGAATTTTTTGCATGGGGACTACTCACGATGCCGATAATATCAGTTTTGAACGCCACATTTCCGGATCACACGTTCCTGATGAACGGTCTCATAATGGGAATTAAGGGAATCCTATCATTCTTGTCTGCTCCGTTAATCGGAGCTCTGTCCGACGTGTGGGGAAGGAAATTTTTCCTGTTAGTGACTGTTTTCTTCACATGCGCGCCCATTCCATTGATGACCTTCAACACCTGGTGGTTCTTTGCGATGATAAGCATTAGCGGTGTATTTGCCGTGACCTTCTCCATTGTGTTCGCGTACGTGGCTGATGTAACGACAGAAGCTGAGAGGTCGCGAGCATACGGCCTCGTGTCCGCAACATTCGCAGCCAGCATGGTGATATCGCCTGCACTGGGTGCATACCTCATGGACTTATACGGCGAAGTTCTTGTTGTCGCCGCTGCTACTGCTGTGGCTGTCCTTGATGTCTTTTTCATAATGGTTGCGGTTCCTGAAAGTCTCCCTGAAAAAGTTCGCCCAAGTGGTTGGGGTCCTGCTATAAGCTGGGAGCAAGCAGATCCATTTGCTGCACTTAGAAAAGTTGGCGCAGAACGTACAGTGCTCATGTTGTGTGTTGCCGTGTTTTTATCATACTTACCTGAAGCAGGACAATATTCATGCATATTTGTGTACTTGAAACTAGTGATGGGCTTTGGAGTGGTACAAGTGGCAATATTTATTGCAATTGTTGGTGTACTTAGTATTGCAGTGCAAGTGGTTCTCGGATTTCTGATGAAGTCCCTTGGTGCAAAGCACACCATTATGCTTGGACTCCTATTTGAGATGATGCAACTAATGTGGTATGGCTTTGGAAGCCGTACATGGATGATGTGGGCTGCTGGTGTGTTAGCAGCCTTAGGCTCATTGACCTACCCTGCAATCAGTGCATATGTGTCAGTCAACAGCAGAGCTGACAGGCAAGGAGTTGTGCAGGGTATGGTAACTGGTGTGAGAGGTCTATGTAATGGACTGGGCCCAGCTATGTTTGGAGTTATATTTTATCTATTCCATGTCGATCTAAATGAAGAACATGCAGGAGTAAATGCTCGACCAAATGAGGAAAAGTATGTGAGAATGGTACCAGGACCACCATTTGTGCTTGGAGCCTTGCTTGTCATTTGTGCTCTACTCGTGGCCGCATTCTTACCTGAAGATGGAACTGTTGGTGGACGACGAGCTTCCCCTGATCTACGATTCGAATTGGAGCGAGGACGACGCGTAGCTGGTCCCTTGTCTCCGTTAATGGCTCCTGAGTCTGCAGCTCTCTAGCTAGCGGCGAAGGCCGGCAGAGCGGCCAGCGTTTAATCAACAGGGCTGTGTGCGCCAAATGGCGTCCAGGAGAATGCATTTATGAAGGTACCAAAGCGAACTCTGAACAAAGTGAGTCCATATTCTATGATTGCACCGACTACATTCCTGCATACCATCTGTTTTATGCTTTATCCGATACCGATACTTGTTCATGTTTTTAAACTTTATACTTAGTTTTGTAATTTTCACTGGCTCTTGAGGGGGCATGTACATAATTATTAAATAATAAAATCATAACTTTGTTTAAGATCTTCTGTTTTCATATTTTGAACTCTATATCACACAATATTTTAAGATACTTAGTATTTTTAAATTGGCAGGAAAGAAGGGAATAGTAATTGCACTTGGCTTACTGCATGCATCGCAAATCATGCTTCTCACAATATAAAACATCACTATGATATAAAATATGATATTAATACTGGTTTATGTGTATTTTACTATGAAATGAATAAATGTAAACATTATTAAATTAACTTAGATGGCAAACCGTTAGTCAAATTTTATAATAACAAAATTATGACATAAATTATAATGAATAAAGCCAAGTATGGTAAAATTAAACAGCAATTGCATTGAAAGCTGTTCAGTGTACCTGTAGAACATTTTGGTTTTAACATTTTTTTAATCTATGGTGTCCAAATTGATTAATATGGGCAGCTCTTTAACGAAAATACTACTACTACTACGTACTGAATTTGATGTCCCGGTTCCATTCCACTTCACATGGGGAACAGTTACATTCAGTTAAAATAAAACAAAATTTTTATATGGCTAACTCGAATTTTCCTTTAGTGTTGTTCTAGTATTTCTTTTAATAAATCAATAATTCATTGGGAAATAGGAGAATTGAATAAATTAAATGCCAAGTAATATTGTTATCATGGTGAGTTAGCATAAATGATTAGTAAACATGTACTATACTGTGGCTTCCTTATTTGGCAACAACAAACATCTCAGTATGTTTGTTTTTGCCAATTAAGGAATTAATTAACAAACAAGGAGATCTTGTTATTTTTCAGTTTATCTGTCAAACACAATTTATACAGATAAGAAAATTTAAAAATTAAACTTTGAAGACCCTTAAAACATATTAAATTTATTTGGTTTCAACTATTATTCCACATATAACATGAAACAATTTTTTAACGAACTTGCGTATTCTACTAATATAATAAACGCGAGTTTGTGAGGATGTATGGATGTTTGTTACTCTTTCACGGAAAAACTACTGAATGGATTTTTATGAAAATTTACAATAATATAGCTCATACATCAGAATGACACATAGGCTACTTTTTATGTCGGAAAAATGTACGGTTCCCGTTTGGTAGATTTGTTTTTGTTTTTCTAGAGGCGAAACCGAGCAAAGCGAGGTTGAGCCGCTAGTATTTTATAAAATTGAAAAAAACCTAAAAAACCATATACAAAGCCGTGTCGACTTGCTGGTTCGTAAAGAAATGTTATCGCTGTAATTATATTATTTAAATAAAATATTTGATAAAACAGAAACAAAAAGGACGCTGAAAATGTGAAGATAATGAAAAAACATAATATTTGAGAATTAATCTACATATAAATGAGATGAATTGAGCGATTTTTTTTTGTTTCCGTACAAGGTCTTATTTCGGCTTTTCCTCAATTTAAAGTACGTTGTACAAGTTCAGTCGACGTTGTCAGACCTTCACCTTGACGGAATTGATTAAATCTGCAAGTAGTTTGTACCGCATTCGCTGATTGCAATCGTTTGGTTTCTATCCAAATCGACAGAACATAACTAAGAAAAAAGGCATTTAGACATATTTCATTTATCAAATTTCCATTTTTTATAAAACAACATATTAACTTCAAAGCTTTGATAAATTTTTCGTTTTTTTTTTCGATACCTTGAAGATATTTGAATAAAAAATTTCAACTTCCTATGTAATAGAAGTGTTCCCTCAGTAATCTCAAATTTCATTTAACATTTTGACAAATTGAGAGGAATTTTTAATTACTTTACTTTGATGTTGATGTAGCCTGTGGAGCTGAAGAGGTTTTTAAGAACTGGCATAAATAATATACCAGATAACTTTAAATGTTGACAAAGTTGTTGAAGTTTGCCCTTATAAATTTTTGATAATTTTTGACAATTTTTTTTATTTATCTTGATTTTATTTATTACTACGTCTAAGTACTATAATTTTTCTTATTCTTATAATTATTATTTACCTGCTATTTCGGTGAAAAGTTAATACGAATCAATAGCCATTTCTTCTCTACTACATATAGTAGGGGAGCCCAAGCGGGGATTTCGGGATTTACTAAAGCGCGGCAGATTAATATACAGGGGGATACCTTGTACCCGGTTAAGTACCTCCACAAAACATTAGGCCCATATATAAGGCCGCCCGTGAAGGATACAGGATCAGATTAGTAAAAAAAAATTGACCATCAGAAATTCTCGAGCGCGTCAAATTAAGGTAGGGTGAGTTAATTACATCCTAAAAAGTGTATATTCCACTAATCTGACAATTTGAGAGTGACGTAAAAAAAGGGGAGGGCAACAAAGTTGTAAAAAAAAAACGTCATCTCGACATTCTCGAGCGTAGCTAAATTTTTTTTTATTTTGAAGGAAATAATTCAAGAATAATGAAAAATATATAATCTGACGATTTCCGCAAGCTGAAATAACAAAAATTCGTCGATAAAGTTAAATGCGTGCAGCTGCGTGATGCCGACATTTCCTTCTCCGCGTGTCTATTCCTCTCTCACTCTTTCTCTATCTATTACTCTCTCACTCCGTCCCCACTCTGGTTTCTGCCGCCATGACGCCATCACAGCTGATCATAAAGACTCGTTCGTGGCGTACTGTTTACAACGTGTTTCCAACGTTTTGGCTTTTTTGCTATTATAATATTATTTGTGTGAATTAAAGTTTATAAATATTTAATATGAGTGACATTAATTTTTTCGGGATTACTCCGAAATTTTTGGTTCGATCAATTAAAACCTGAAAATAACTAATGAGGATGATAAAACTGCGTCGAATGGCGTCAACCGCGAGAAAATTGCTTGATCTATTCAAAAGTTAAACCGGTTTGAAAATTCCAAAAATAGTGTTCTATGAAACTTCTATCAGACTTTCGAGCTGGGAGAGCTCAAATGCATAGAAATATTATTTCTTTGAACTCAGCGAGCTCTAAATATCACATAAATTATATTTTGAGCTCAAAAATGTCATAAGTACAATTTTAAGCGCCCAGGAATGGAATTACCGGGAAGTTGCAGGTATGGCCTTTAAGGTGAACCGTTTTTCTAATATTTTTTTTGTCAGATCAGGCGAATCCCTCTAGATAATCGTCAGATTATGAGACAGTACGTTTAGAACATAAAGATGAACCATATATATCTTAATCTGACGCGCTTGAGTATTTCAAAATGGCGATTTTTTTTGCACATTATGAAAATGGCCGCGAGTTTGCGTCCCATCGAAATCGTCAGATTAGTTAATGAGAGCTTTTTTTTGGTGCACTTAAACTCCCTTAGAAAATCTGACGCGCTCGATAATTTTTTTTTTTTCATTTTCAACCCTTAAATACAACCACCCGCATCATGCAAACGATCAGATTAACATACGTACATTATTAAAAATACGTAGGGCATTGATGCTATCAATATCTGACGCGCTCGAGGATGTCTATGCAACAGTTTTTTTTTACATATTTAAAAATCTATAGCCGCTTCCCCCACCGATGTAAAGGTATATATCATACAACATTTTTTTCTTCTTATCATCTAAGCTTTGCATCCCAATAGGTCTCTACGACGCTCGAGTAAATCCCCATTTAGCATCGTGGGCTCCCCTACTAATACGCGTTCTTAGAATCGTCGATAAACCCTAGAACATAACGTCATTATCTTATTTATATTATGTACCTACATATTTCCTCGTGTATATGATTTATAAATTGTATTTCACGTAAAAATAAATCATTGTACCAGCTTATCTGATACGCGTATCTAGCTGTTGAAGCAAATGAATAATTTTATTGTGAACAAAAAAGGCTTATTGTTGTACCTGCGTTTGGTGAGTTGATTAATGATTTCCGCTCTACTTTTATATTTTACGTTGTCTGTTGATAGAGACAAACATAAGAGTGAAAGAGAGGAAATAAAATAAAATGAAGAAATAAGAAAATTTAAATGGAGAAGTACATCAAAAAAGTAACATTGCTCTATGTCGTGGCTCGTATAGAACACACGGACATGCATTCTATAGACGGACCGCGATCAATACTTCATATGGCCAATCAGACTAAAAAAATGTTAAAATAGACAGAGCACGCAGTCGACCATCGTGGAAATCTGAAATAGAACCTATTATAATTTAATTTTTATAATATTATTGTCGCCATTGATCATTTAGTATTTAGGCGCTATTGTCGAGAGAATACGTGCTGTGTAACCGTGTGTTTTTTATTTACACACAATTTTTTATTTAAGTAATTTTAACGTTTTTCTATTGTGCTATTTCATAATATGTAAAAGAAGACAAAAGTAAGAAGAAATATTTATAAAAATATTTACTTTATCTATTTTCATCTATTATATCTGTGCAAACAATCCTAACAGATTAATAGACAATCACGATAAATACCGCGAACATTGCGACATCGTGACGTAGCCATTTCAACTGACCTTAATCATAATGCAAATATTTCCACAGCGTTCGATAAAATTAGAAAAACGACGGACCTTTATCAGATATAATGGTAATATTTATTTGATCTATATTTTTTTCATAAGTATTTGTTATTTTGTTCTTAATTTCGCGCGAAGCTAAACATGTTTGATGATAATCAAAATTAAAAAAAAAGGGTACACTAACGTCAAAACTTAAACGTAGGTAGATAATTATGCCGCCCTTATAATACAACTTTTTTTGCAATTTATATGAGACCATCCGTTATTTT